ATTGTAAGCATTTCATAAAGTGGTGTCATATCCCCATGCTTTGACAGTGTAATTTTGAAAAATTTCCTCATCCAAAAATTGTTTTGGTACAACAAGAACAACAAAACTATGCAGGCTACAGATAACTTCCATGCAAAACCACATTACTGTAAAATTTTCCTCAGAAGAACATTTTAACAATCTAGAAAAAATATAAAGATAATAACTAAGCACACAAATAAAAAGAAATACCCCCCTTGCCCACCCTGGGCGGTATTGTGTCTGTTCAACCTCGGGTCTTCTACCAGAGGCCTGGGAGCTTCAGGGTCCTGCAGTGTCTTAGCTGTTCCTAGGACTGCACGCTTCTGGAGTGAGATGTCTGATGTTTCCCCAGGGATCTGTTGGAGCCACTTCTCCAGTGTGGGGGTTACTGCCCCGAGTGCCCCGATGACCACAGGCACCACTGTTGCCTTCACCTTCCAGGCTTTCTCTAGCTCCTCTTTGAGCCCTTGGTACTTCTCTAGTTTCTCATGTTCCTTCTTCCTGATGTTGGTATCGCTTGGGATGGCAACAGCTACCACAACGGCTTTCCTCTTCTGTTTTTCTACGATTAAAATGACCGGTTGGTTTGCCATTACCATTTTGTTGGTCTGTATCTGGAAGTCCAACAGGATCTTGGCTTGGTCATTCTCCATCACCTTGGGAGGTGTTTCCCATTTTGACCTCGGGGTTTCCAGTCCATATTCTGCACAGATGTTCCTGAACACTAAACCAGCCACTTGGTTATGGCGTTCCATGTATGCTTTTCCTGCCAGCATCTTACATCCTGCTGTTAGGTGGTGGACTGTTTCAGGGCCCTCTTTGCACAGCCTGCACCTGGGATCTTGCCTGGTGTGATAGATCTGGGCCTCTATTGCTCTGGTGCTCAAGGCCTGTTCTTGTGCTGCTATGATGAGTGCCTCTGTGCTGTCCTTCAGTCCAGCCCTCTCCAGCCATTGGTAGGATTTGCTCGTATCAGCCACTTCAGCTATCTGTCGGTGGAATACCCCATGCAGGGGTTTTTCCTTCCATAATGGTTCCTCCTCCCCTGTCGGTTTCCATTGTCTATATGTCCATATGTCTATTGTGTGTGTGTGTGTGTGTGTGTGTGTGTGTATATATATATATATATATATATACAGTACAGGCCAAAAGTACACACTTTCTCATTCAATGTCTTTTCTTTATTTTTTTATATGACTGTTTACATTGTAGATTATTACTGAAGGCATTAAAACTATGAATGAACACATGTAGAGTTTTGTAATTATAAAGAAAGTGTGAAATAACCGAAAACATTCTTTATATTCCAGTTTCTTTAAAATAGCCACCCTTTGCTCTTGATGACAGAAGTACCTTGTCAGGGTTACTTCAGGCACTCCTGTGAAGTAAAAACCATTTCAGGTGACTACCTCATGAAGCTCATTGAGAGAACAGCTAAAGTTTGCAGCGCTATCAAAAAAGCAAAGGGTGGCTACTTTGAGAAATCTAAAATATAATACATGTTTTCAGTTATTTCACACTTTTTTCTTAAGCACATGATTCCACGTGTTCATTCATAGTTTTGAGAATCTACAATTTAAATAGTAATGAAAACAAAGAAAATGCATTGAATGAGAAGGTGTGTCCAAACTTTTGGCCTGTACTGTATATATATATATATAAAAATTTTTTTTTCTCCAAATTTTGACAGGAGATCACAAGTCAAGTTGTTTCCCACATGTCCACTCCATGAGAAGTACCAAAAGTTCTAGAGGGAATAGTAGTTTTCCCCACCCCCTTGTTATGCATTAACTCTTATGTATCAACTCTGCACCTGTAGGTATGGGGATGTTAGGTCACACACGAAGACAAAGTTTTACACAGCTAAATTGACCCCAGAGATACACTGATGCATGCAATATGTGTTCAGCACATTGAAAATATACCATCATGATAATTTTATGCTTAATCAGTTGTCTCCATCAAATTAGGAAAAGTAGAAAAAAAGAGGATAGCTATTATTCTTTGAATGATAAACATTGAATTGGGTCAAACTGTTTAAGCTCAGTCAGTTTAAGCTCTGAGTTTCCCTGGCAAGCCTGACTTTGATATATATGTTCAGAGCACCTGTAGCTTTGGTCTTTGCATTAAAAAATGGCACACACCTACTCAATAGCCCCTACACACCCTGATATCTACTTTCCAGAAAAAAATCACAGGACGCCTCGCGGAGGTCAAAGATGAAGCTGCAGGTTCAACAGAAAAATAACTCTGGCACAGCTATAAGTCTGTTATGCAGTTTACACAGGTGCAGTCAATTCTAATGCTATAAGTGAGCCTAACAGCTCCCAGATCATTATTTCCCTGGCATGTTGCTTGATTTCTTAAATAATATCGACAATTTTCTATTTTTTCCTCAAAAGTTAGTGATGATATGTGATCTAATTGATATTTAAAGAGTTAAAATTCTGGAATTTATTAACATTATGGACATTATGATCAGAATTGATGCCAAATTAAATAAATTATGCAGTGGCAGAAGGAGTATAAATAAATAAGTACAAAAGATATTTGAGAGAGTCATATCTTCATACTACACTCTCCTTCTCATTTCAGGTACCACAAACTGTATAACAGAAAGTCAAGAGCAAGAAGTTTGGACACCATAAAGGCCCCACTAGATCTACATCTGACCAAGAGGACTTATTGTTTGAATATTATTTTTCCAATAAATTTGTTATATTTTATCTTATGCGTCATCTTTATGCACTGTTACTACTGCTGACTCTGTTGTGACAAAAGTTGGCAATCAGCTGCCATGGTTTGGTTACAGGAAACCATGGCAACTGAATCAGATGCTCGCACTAATCAGTCACAGAGCGCCCTCACTTTATTCCAAAAAAGGCGTGTTCGATCATACCTTTGTGACGCATGCTCTTTGATGTGAAGCATTTATATTTAGACTTACCACAGATCATCTCAGCATATATACCATAACCTGTATTGTTATCGGTGTTTACAGTCCTTGTACTTACAAAAAGCCAACTATTAGCCATAATGCCTATCCTTATGTTATCTTGGGTTGTACTCTCAGCAGTGGGTCACTTGATTAAGTCAGCTCTTGGATATGAACTCCACACTTCACCAATGCCTGAACCAGTAATACCTGAAGCCAGGGGAAAGGATCTCAGATCTGGTCTGAATATAGTGCCAGGTATTTCTGTCCAAGAGCCTGCTTTGATAATGGAGAAAATTGATGAACCACACATACCACAGACTGCTAGCGACACAGTCAGTGACCTAACGGCTTTAGTGAAGAAGTAGGTCGAAAGAAGAGAAGAAATAGAAAACACAGGAAAAGAAGCAGCTCAGTTCGCTGTTTAAGGATGTCCGAGGCAGGGTTTCCTTCGGGTGCTCTGGTTTCTCCCAACTTTTGAATTGAACCATAAAAAAGCTTGGTTAGGATAACCAATTCATTTCAAAACATCATTATATATGTGTGCAAAACATTTCTTTTTCTGAGTTTACCTGAGTTTCCCACCCTCTTTATTGTATCAACTCAGCATAAAATAATAGCTGTAAATCACCAAAACATATTTCTTCCAATTACTCAGAAATGACAAACTTTCATGTTGCCTATATTGTATCCACTGTTAACCTGGACAACAGTGATGATGATGCCTGCTTACAATCAAATATTACTGTATGATACTTGAGTTTGACAGTCATTAAACAGGTGATTTGAAAGTTAGGGGTATGGGGGAATGAGTAAGGGTTAGCTTGAACCTCTTATCCTGCCTAAAATCAGGACTAGAAATCTTCGCAGACGAACAGAAAAAAAGAAGAAAAGGAGAGAACAGACTGTTCTTTGCCCACAACATGCTAAAGCGTGGTACTGTTGTTCTGGTAATGACCCCGTAAAAGTAAACCCCACTATTGGTGCAAAGAAGGTGGATCTAGCTCAGGGGTCGGCAACCTTAAACACTCAAAGAGCCACTTGGACCAGTTTCCCACAGAAAAGAAAACACAGGGAGCCACAAAACCTCTTTGACATCTAAAATGAAGATAACATTGCATATATCTTTTTTTTTTACCTTTATACAAAGTATATAAAAAACTGTAGCGAGTTGCATTTATGAAATAAATGAACTATTTCGGCGAGTGTCTGTCTTCTTCTGTAGTTAAACCGCAAGATATCAAAATCTACCCGGATACAGCAATGCTGCTTTTTGATTGGCTGTTCAGTAGATATACTTTATTTGATTGGCTTGTGCGTGGCACGCAGCTTCTGAACTCTCGGAGGAACTCAGTTGATTTCCCCCAGTTCCATAGTTGAAGAAGTGCAAATTGGTGGACATCACCGTGTTCATTTAAATGCGTGAGAAATACAATGTGTGGTGTGTGAGCGTGTGAACAAGTGGGAATGCGTGTGTCATACGCTGAATGCGTGAGACTTGAGAGCCCTGTGCTCACGCATCATCGATGTACTCCCGAGCCATGCAAAACGCCGGTCTTTGCAAATGTTGCACTGAACGCCTTCCTTTTCAGTCTTGGTGAAGTTTTCCCACACCACTGATGTTTTAGGTCGGGATTTGGGTTGGGTTGTGTCCATGTTTTTCTCAGCCGCTGCCTCAGCCATGGCTGTTTCTTTTCTGTGCGTCCTGCTGATGTTTACACGCCAGTGTCCATGGACATATATAAAGACCCGACGAATCGATTACAGAATTTGTTGGCAACGGATTTTTTCGTCACGACGAATCTACTTAATCGATTCGTTGTTGCAGCCTTAATAGTTTATTTAATGTTACAAGAGCATTATAATCTTTGAATTTAGAATTACAAAAAAATTTAATAATAAAATAAAATAAAATGCAATTAAGTATTTATTATTTATTTTCCAAATCCATTGGGAGCCGCAGCTTAGGGAAGAAAGAGCCGCATGCGGCTCCAGAGCCGCGGGTTGCCGACCCCTGATCTAGCTGATAAGAAACAACACATTCTATTTGAGCAACATTTTAACAACTTTATTCTCTGTCATATCAAAACATCATCCTGAACAAGCTTTTCTCTGCTGGTAACATACAGAAGAACAGTTTCATTGTATCAGTGACACCTACATATGTGAACTCCTTTAAATCATCAGAATGGAAAACCTGCTGCTGTTATTCAGTGAGTGAAAAGTCAACGTGTGTGTCATTTTGGAGGGATCTAGCCTGGACCGAGGTTCTGAGTGGTCTCCAGGCGTTCTCTGTAGAGAGAGTGAAAGGCCTGTGCTAAACTGAGGAGTGGTGCATCACAGTTCTCCTTATCCTTCTGTAACAGACAAACACAAAGCCTCAGGGATGGGATGATTTATGGTGTTTGCTACTCATACAGTTGCATTCAATACAATCTTTTTGGTAAAATGTAAAGTTCATACTGGGATACACTTACAGCTGATGTCTCATGATACTCCAACCCCTGGCTTTGGGCCCATTCCTGGGCAACTGATGCCTGGACCTCCCTCCTGGCACACAGATCTGTTTTGTTCCCTACGAGGACACCTTAAACAAACACACACACAAGCACATATACACACACAGTGGATTAATGATGGCCTAAGGGTATACAAATTACACTTAACTGATATTCATTTGTAGGGCCGTTTGCTCTTCTTCATCATTTATCTACAATAAGTGCACTGATACATACAGTTTCTGCTGGTGGTTTTCACCCAGTACAAGTTGGTAGGAAGTCTAATTTAAACAGCTTAAGAACTCAGAGATCTTTGTGGTATTGTACAAGACATGAAAAGCTCTTTGAAAATGATCTTCACATGATGTATCACATAGAAAATCAAGAAAGATTCAGAGATACTTTATATTCTCTCTCAATTTCCGTCTCTTCGCTGTTGCTCCCCAGATACTTTGACCTTTACTGGTTGTTACCTGGAATATGGCAGCCCTGGCAATAAGCACGAACTCTCTCCATCCAGTGACTGCAGTTGGCAAAAGACTGTTCACTGGTCAGGTCAAAGACCAGGCACAGCAACGACAGTTCGCCCCACTGTGGAGGGAGAGGTGAAGGGCAGAAGCTCAGGTCAGACAGGTTAAGGGGAGAGGGAAAGAGCAAGAACAGCAACTTCTAATTTCACTTCTGGACAGTATATTTCAGACATTAGTGTTATGCAAATGAGAAACTTTAGAGAGACAAGTCTCACCATTTTCTCGCAGGCTTCCACTAATGTGTCTTTCCCTGCAGAGTCTATGATGTAGAGCTCCTGTGGGGGGTGGGGGGCAAGGAAAAAGTTTGTTAAATTTTGTTAACCCTCATGTTTCCTATTGCTTGGGCATAACTAGTCTCTGTGCAGTGCTATCTCATTGCTTACGGTTGGAAACAAAGAACATAAATCAGGAAGAACTTCAGTCAAAGATCATTCCCACCCAGTTCAATTCTCATTATTAGGACTGAAATATCAGTACACATCTGAAACATTTACATACACTGGCGCTGTCAGCATTCTTAATGTGTTAATTGCAATGACATTACACCACAGACACCACAGTGCTTTTAAATGACAGCTTAGTTAACAAGTCAAAGGTGATTTGCACTTAAGGTCAGTTACGCATAAAGGTGCAGCCAGTCAGACTTCCGTCAGCAGGCAGAAGTATCACACAAGCTGACATAGCAGCTCTTTTATGGTATCTCAATGGTCATAGACCTGCAACTTGGATCTAGGGAACATGTTCAGGTAGTTGCGTAGTGACCACTCATGTGCCTTACAATTGCAGGTAACGCCAACTGCACAGATACAGGACTTCTGTATAAAACCGAGAGAGAAACCAAACTGGAACTCCTGAGAAGTGCAAATGCATTTACAAGGACTAACTGGACATCAGTGAGTAACCTCCGAATAACTGCTCACCACATTGACACTGATTGGACATTTTCTACATGCACTCCTGCACATTTTTTTGTGTGCTTGACAGTGTTATCCTTTAGAAAACACAACAAAACTAAAGACTGCATATTTTAGCCTCACAATGAAAAAACCTGAATGTTGGACTGGTACTGGTTTAAACTTGGTGTAAAACAAACTGAATGTAATTGGATTGGGCTAGATTAGAGGAGATTCAACTTAATTTATTCTTTTGGCAAGGTTCCCCTATGGAAATTAAAATTCCAGCAACATCATACACAGAGAAGACACCAGAATGATCAAATATGAAATATACTGATAAAGACTAAAGAAATGGTACAAACTTCAGATAATTAAGTATTAATATACTGTATAAAAAGTAACATTTCAAGCTGTGGTCATTGCACATTACTATTAAACAACAACTACTACTGCTGCTGCTGCTACTCTTCTCATCCTCTGTCCTCCTGTTACCTCCCCTTCTTCTCCTCCTTCTCCTCCCCAGAGAGGAGTTGTTCAGTTTGATGGCATGAGAGACAAAGGAGTTTTTCAGTCTCTTGGTCCTGCACCTGGGAAGGATCAGTCTGTCAATGAACAGGCTCATCTGGTTGATGAAGGCAGAGGGTGACTAGCATCTTGACTTCCCAAAGTCAATGACCAGCTCCTTGGTCTTCGAGATGTTGAGGTGCAGATGGTTCCTGTGGCACCAGCTAACAAAATCCCTCACCAGGCCCCTGTACGTGAGATTTTTTCCCTAGTATGAAATAGGGAAATCCACGCCCCCAACCCATTTGATTGGTTCCCACACAGTCTCTCTTATTTCTACCTCGAATGCGCCCCCTCCTGTTTTTAAATTTCACTGTTGCTACATTGCCGCCTGCCCCCAAACCCTAATCCTAACCAGATGCGGCTGATCACAGTGTCAGATGCGATGTTCTTCAGAGTGATGTACTATGTTCTGTTGGTGAGGAAGCTGTAGATCCAGGTGACCAGGCAGGTGTCCACTTACATCGTGCTCAGTTTGTCCTCAAGCAAAAGGAGCTGGATGGTATTGAAGGCACTAGAGAAATCCAGAAAGATGATCCTTAGGGTGCCACTCCCCATATCCAGATGTGAGTGGGCTCTGTGTAACAGGTAAAGAATGGCATTCTCCACAGCAACGCCCACTCTGTATGCAAACTGCGGACTGTCCTGAGGGTGTTGCACCTGGAGTCTGGGAAGGCTGAGGACGAGCAGCTCCATTGTCCTCATCAGATGTGAAGTGAGTGCCACTGGTCGGCAGTTATTCACCTCGCTAGGTCGGTTCTGCTTAGGAACTGGAATGATGCAGGATGTCTTCAAGAGAGTGGGCACTCTCCCCAGCTACAGGCTGAGGTTCAAGATTCTTTGGAGCAGTTCACCCAGCTCAGAAGCACAGCTCTTAAGAAGTCTAGGACAAACCTTGTCCGGACCAACTACTTCTCGAATCAAGCTCATGGCGCCTTCACAACTGTATTTATTTCAGCGTCTTCACACTTAAAGACAAAATTAAAATGTTATGTTTCTTCGTCTATAGCTCAGTCAATGCCATTTTTTTCTTTGTGCTAGTTCATTGACAGTAATATCTCAGTAATATGCCGGGGTCAAATTCTGTAAAGTGAATGCTGGTAGTAAATATTTTTTATGGCTGGACTCACCACACTGTCGTTTGTCTCTGGTATGTTGACACACTTCAGTAGCAACTCCACTCCAGTTGTCTGAGAAAACAGTAAAAAAAAAACAGGCACATATAATTAGGTTAATAAAAGTTGATTAATGCTACTGTGGTGCCAGTCTAGCAGACCTTGATCAAATTTACAGCACATGTTTTCTCTTTGTTCTTATGGGAAAGAAAAAATAAACAAAAAAAACTCAAATTTGCTGCTTTTGGTATTTTTCTATTTAGTCTAACGTGACTTGTCTCATCAGTTTTCCACAATAGCTGCTTTACCTTAGATCTAATTGTAGCTTTTCTTATCATCAAACAGTTTTCAGCTACAATAGTCTTGCCACTGTAGGGCTTCTACGCAGAAAAAAAGACAAGAAAAGAGAAGAAAAGAGATGTCTTGCTGGCACACAGTTGACACGATACACGGCAGCAAAACAAACTGCCAGGTTAGATTTATTGTTGATGTCAAAACATAAGCATGACTAATTAGCAGCTTGGCTTGGCTTGAAAGCAGCTTCACTGTCCTGAAACCTTCTCTCATGTGTCTCCATTACTCTGAATCTTATTATTCTTAACGTCTCAATAAAGAAAAAAGCCTTTAGTGAGACAAACAGCAGCTCTGTTGAAGCTAAAGAGAGATACAGGCCTCCTTTGGGCCCAACAGTGGCAACAATGAAGACAGAGTGAGAGTCCTAAAGGTTAATAAATATTTAAGGGTGGAGGTTACTTTTATAGTGGGTTGACATTTACTGTTAGATAGTCTGGCTGTTGTTCATAGTCCAGTCTCTGGTCCTTTTGGCAGATCACGGTCACTGTCTGGAAATCGTTTTCTCTATTCTTAATTTGGCTGTTGGGACAGTCCAGGTCAAGTGAGAAAAAAGGTATAATTTTAATTTTCCCACTCCTCATGTAAATAAATGTAAATTGAGAGCTACAGAAAAGATCTGCCCTGGTGATAGCCCCCTTTGTATTTGCAAAGACCACCCCTTTCACACACAAGTCATTATGTGACTGCTTCCAGCTGCTTTGACAGAAAATGTTTGATCCATCCATACATCCATTGTCTTCTGCTCAACTGGGCAGTCGTCTAAGAAAGTCAGCCCAGACGTTTCTCCTTCCCACTGATATTTTGCAGCACCTCTTGGTGTGCTCTGGAGTGTTCTCAGGCCAGGTGGAATATATAATACTTCCAGCAAGCTCTGGGGGTACCCCAAGGTTTATTTCCAATAGAATGCACCTCCACAGGGAGGGCTCTAGGAGGTCCTTACCAAATGCCAGAACCTCCTCGACTAACTGCTTTCAATGGGAAGGATTAGTGACTTTAATATAAGCGCTCTCCCAGTGTCCAAGTTCCTGAACTCATCTCTAAGGCTGAGTCCAGCCACCCTTTAGAGGAATTGGAATTCAGAAGTACTGGGTAATGCAGCACAAATCTGTCTCTTTAATATGTTAAATAAGTCAATTTGGATTCCATAACCAAACATGAAGAGTTCATGTTCATGGACACAGAGTTATCTGAGACAATAACATTTTTAGTCCTATTTTACAGAGTAACTCAACTAGAAAAACTTTTTTCTGCTTTTTCAAGAAAATAAGTTTTTGAGTTTTGGTGCAGAGGTTGAAGACATGGGTAGTGGGTAATTTTTAACTTTCATCCCGGGTGGATCACAGAGGTACAGGAAGAAGATATAAAAAGAGATTAGAGAGCAGGCAGCAGAGGGTAAGCAGGGTATGAAAAATACAGTCTTATGACAGATGCACTTTCTTCCCAGACTTGGAGATCTAATGAAGTCCTAAGTGGACAGGATGGTTGCAGGCTGCCTTTCGCCACTATGCGTCTACCAGTATGAGATCAGCAGTGACCTTGAAGAAGCAAGAGGAGTTTTTTTTTTCACATCAGCATCAAACTCTAAATTGATCTGATCTCCTGAGCCTACACCTAACTAAGTGTGTCAAATGCCAGATACTAAAACTCTGCAAACACACACACACACACACACACACACACACACACACACACACACAGAACCAACATTTACCAAATTCATACACTGCAACAGTTCATAACTCGGATCAAACAGTGCGCACAAACGCGCACAAACGCACACACACACACACACACACACACACATACACACACACACACACACACACTCACAGACAGTGCGGAGGTCTAATGAGCTGGTGTGATGCATAGGAAGCCTCTCACTGGAATGTCAATGAGGGCCTATTAGGAACAAATAAGCTTGGAATATTGCTAACGGGCCGTCTGACATTTTCAAAGGAGGACGTGAGCTGAATGGCCGACAGCTTCTGCTACCCTTCAAAATCAAAAGTTGAAGAACATGAGGGATGACTTTGATGTCTGGAACAAGGAATAACTCCACAACTGGAGCGCTGCATTCTTTGTCTTTACCAGGATGGAAAGGACACGCTGTTCCCTGTTTCCATCTGCAGTGAAATCTCAAGGGGAAAATTGAACCTGACACATCTAATCCTGCCTAAACTGCTAATGCACCCCTGAGTCATGACTGTCGGTAAAATATTTGTAATGCTTTAAGTATGCACAACAATCATACAGCATAGCCATTTCGTGCAAAATGCCCACTTAAGTGAGGCTATTCGGAAACATTTATGCCTATCAAGTCGAGGATGTGAGGAGCCCTCATCTGCTCCATTTGATTGAATTACTTTTTTTTTTTTTCTAATTTGACAAACTATCCAAAATACTCACAATAAATAATCCCTCTGGATGTAAAAATTTAGCAAGATGACATATTTTGTCACCCTGAATTTTACTTAGTGCCCAGTTGTGTGCCGCTTAACTGGCAAAAAACACTCAGAGACATCTTAATTCACTCTGCTTCAGACCGTATACCAAGGACCCAAGTCAGAGACACTATAGTTTTCTGACAGTGGCATTAGCACCTTGGAAAGCTCTACACATCAAATAACCACGATGATAGGGACTCAGAGAGCTTTATTCTGCTCTCTCTCTCATGTCTTTAACTTGCAAAACAGCCTGCTAAATCATATGAATTAAGTTGATTTAATTAAAGTCTGTCATGATGGACCAGCTAGGAAAAAACTTTTTCTCCGTGTGCCACCTATAATGATGTCAAAAGTACAGTAAGAGAGAAAGTATGACTGTGTGTTGTAACGTTAGTGAAGTGTAATTACAGCACCTGAAACAATCAAATGTACTAATGGGACGCTTCCTGTTCAATCATGTTATTGTTAGGACTGACTATTGAACTGACTGATGTGAAATTTCTGGGAAAAATTAGAAAAAAGGAAGACAGGTGACTACTTGATAGGGGAAAAAAAGAGATTAATCTTTAAGACACCATGAAACACCACTTCATTTACAGATGTGAGGCAAAAAAAAAAAAAAGGCAAAAAAGCTATTAAAAACTACCAAAAACGTTAAGGCTCATATAAATTCTAACTCAATCCCAAATCAGATTATTATTTCCAAAAGTTTTTCTTTAAGTTATTTAGAAGCTTCCTGAAATTAAAAATATTTCAAGTGCTATAAAACAAGCGGCTGGCTCCAAGTGGGAGTTTTTAACAGTTGCATAGCAACAGCAAACTCCATAACCAGCACTTTCCCGTGGGTGCTTGTTGAAGTGCATCCAGCCAATAAAGTGGTAAATGGCGGACACAGGGCCTTGATCCACAGGTACACAAAAGTTAACTTGGATGCCTTTCTAATTTTCACTGGGGCATCTCCTCTCCTTCTGCACTTTATACTTCCAACATAGTTTCAACTGTATGTTCAATGGTTCCCAGATGCTGAGTTATATGCAGCAGTGTGGATGTGTTACAGCTAACATATCAAGACTGGACCAGTGTAAATTGAAATCTCAGTACTACGCCAGCGCCTTTCTGCTTTGTTGTTTCTGTGGTGGTTCAACATGAACAGACATGTCAAGCATCACAAAGAACAGTGTATGGCCAATGCAGTATGAAAAAACCCAACACTGTTCTTGTTCATTATGTGTGTGTGTGTGTGTGTGTGTGTGTGTGTGTGTGTGTGTGTGCGCGCGCGCTTGTTAAGTACCTGTTCTGGTGGCTTTCCAGAATCCTACTGTATTAATTATCGACATTCCTGTCACCTAAGAACCCCCAATACTGCTGATACAGCAGGAGCTGAACAAACCACACGCACACTCAATTGGCTGTGGTCCACTATTTTACCCACCAACCTGATCCGTTCCCTAACCAGCTACAAGGACTAAAACAAATACATGTGCTAATGCCGCGCTGTTCCTCGCACTGAAAATGTACTGCATTAGCTAGCATGAGTGGTGAAAGCTTTTAGTGAGCATCCCCTGAAACACTGACAGAGAGAATCAGAGAGCAGCCATGACCCCACATATCACAGAGTCAGGTTAATGACACAGTTTCCTCCCTCGTGTAGATTAACATAAATAATGCAGATTAGCCCTCTCTGCATCAGCATTAATTGGTACATTATGCTGTTTTGCACTTCAGAGATTCCAATAGTACATTTAGCAGATCTCTTCAGGACTTTGAAAAGCTTGTGGGGAGTTCCACCAAGGAAAGTACCATAATATTATATGATCCTGAGTAACACTGACCAGTATTAGTATGAAAAATCAGCAACTCACATAAAATCAGTTGTCCAGTTCTTGAGGGCTTCAATTCTTGATTCAGTTTGTAAATCTACCCTGTAATTCTCGTAGGCATAAACTTTGACTGCTGCCCCTGCTATTCACCCGCTCCCAGCCTATCTCTAAGGGTGGAGGGCCCGCAGTGTTGCAGATCTGTGTTGCCTGTTTGGGCCAACTGGGGCCATGAAAGGAAAGCCTAGCCACCTAAAGCTCATCACACAGTTCACCCTCTGGCTCTAGGAGGTTACCTTTGTGCCTCACTTCCAGGCAAGGTAACTTGTCTGCTTCTGTGCCTCTTGGAATATTTTCTGTCAACTACTCTTAGTTTTGGTTAGTTTGGGGTAGTGAACAAAAGAATATGACCATAGACGAAAGCTGCCGAAAAGAGTTACCTCCAAATGTTAGGAGCAGAGTCATTGCTCCTATGCATGGTGATGGACAGTTGGGGTGATAGTTATGGTTGCTTCCTGGATTCCTCCCTTTAGAGGTTTTCCTGGCATGTTCAACTAGAGGGAGGATCCATGGTAGGGGAAGAGCTTGCTGGAGGGATTATTTACCCCACCTACCCTCTGAATCCCACAGGAGGAGCTGGAAAATAGTGCTGAGGAGAGGGATGACTGCGCTGACTTGCTTACACAGCTGCCCCCACTCCCTGACCCCGGATAAGTGTGAGAAAATGGATGGATGGGTGGATTTATCATTTACAGTGCGCTGCATATTCTTGCTCACTGGCACCTGTTTTTTACGATTTTTTTTTAAAACTGCTATTGCTGTCAATATATTGCTTGTTATATTACCCATTTTTTGCCCCATAATGTCAAGCATATTAAACACCTCTACCACATACTTCTCTTAGCCACATGAAAGCTGCCATAAAATTAAGGCCTTTAAAAACCTAACTGCTGTTTAGAAAGATCATGTAAAAACCTTAAACCTCAGATTAGGTTGATTACCTCATACAACAGCAGCTGTACCTTTAGGCAGATCTTAACATCTAAGTATTGGAAAATTATTGCATAACTTCATAGCACCTGGATTGCGGTATTCCCAAAATACTGCTGCTTTTTCTAGGCTGGCAAGGAGCCCGAATTAAACCTCATGAGTTACTCCTTCAAAAAATATTCAAGAGCATCAGCTATCCTACCTGAATGTAAAATTATAAGCCTGTGGCTAGTCCCTGACTCAGAGCACAGCACAATCCTGAAATCCCTTAACAGGTTGTTTAACAACCCGATAGCTCTGCTATGACTTTGTGATGTGAATCTAACACAGTGTACTTTTTTAAAAAGAAGACTTACACTGGTTTGTAGGTTACCTTACATATAATAAGGCAGTATACTTGGGATTGAATGCTCTTGTTGAGGGAATATAACTGTATTAAACATGAGATCAAATCATAAACTTTTTATTTCTAAGCATCAGAGTTCTTACCATGCTGTAGTTTTTCTGGAAGAGAGCGCCGTCACTGTGGAACATATGGGACAGTGCACTCTTTCCTACTGCTGCATCTCCTACACACACACAGACAGACAGACAGACACACACACACACACACACAGCAAATGTGGGTCTCATTCTATCATGAACAAACTGAGACAAAACAATCCAAGTTAACTTTTATATGAGGCTATAAAAACCCCCGCTAATGGTAGCCATGTTGTTTGGTTGATGGAAAGTCACTACTTTTACTTTTAGTCTTTTTTTCTTATGAATTTTGTGATAATTTGGTGGAAATGTTGGTTCAAATGCAATGCAAGTAGCCATGTTGCTGTGCTGCAAATTAGTGTCTGTGTTGCCATTACTTAGCTTCCACTTAAGTGCTAAGAATGTAACGTACGCACCTTTGTGATTTTACAAGTTCTTTAAATAACTGACACTATTAGTAGCCTACAAAGTGCTAAAATGGAAATACTATGCAATAAAAGTTCTTTGGTGCATAGCAACAACAATTGTCTCCCTCTATGTCCTTCACCCAGTGCATATTGTGTGACCACTGGCCAGATACATAGTGGCGTGTGTTACTTGTTTAGTTTTTGTGCTACCGCGGAAAGATCCGCGGTGCTGCATGTCCGCTGTGGGCTCCCGTACAATTTAACTCATTGCTCAAGTACCATTCTCCGTCGGGCAAAGTTTGAAAAATTGTACTGACATATTTCTTCGAAGCAGAGCTAAGGAGAGACGTGCCGAATACATTTCTAAAAATATCTACAACCACGTGGAAGAGGTTTACTATGGATTCACGTGTTTGCCTCAACATGAGTGGTACTGGCGAGAGTAGAGGCTTAACATCGTCAAACTGTACCACCGGTGTCCGAGTCTACCTTAGAAGATGTAAAAAAACAAAACTTTTGTGCCTAAAGGCAGGAGCCAGACAGAATACTGTAGCTTGTCCCTCTGTGCTGATAGTGGACTTACTACGGCGCATTTAGCAACACATTGATTAGCATTAGCCGAAAAGTCTTTACTATTGAGAGAGATGAACTTGTAAACCTTACCGACGAGAAGACACCTCGCCCTCAACTTTACCATTATAGCGGATATTTTTTAACTACGGGTGAAGTCTCTGGTTGTTAGAAAAAGCTGCTTAAAGACTAAAATGTTATGTTTTTTGGTCAATAATGTATCTCCACATCTTCCTACTACCTCGGCAACATACGTATGACGCGTCTCTTAGCAACCAGCCATGGAGGGGTTTCATTGGTCCAGCCGGCGGGTACGTCCTGTGTGTATAAATACTCTTATTGGTTGTTTGGAATGACGTAAAGGAGTGACGTTTATGGGCTATTTTTTCCTGAAGATGGACTGTCAGGCAGAGATATAAATCATCGGTAGCCAATTATAGGATAAAACGTATTAACCAACCTATAATTGGGTAGTTTTTGGTCTTTGATGGTTTAGCTTGAGTTTTCCATGTCCGTTTCAAGTTGTGGAGTACGAACAGATGGACAAAATGACCTAAGGCTGTGTGAAGTACCTGGCTTAATAGCAAAGCTGTTCGATACCACCAGAGGGCGGCTTTTCTTACCCCTGTTTGCACCATAAATCAATTATTTCGACGAGGGGTTTTATTTTTTTAACGTTAATGTTCTAATTTCAAGCTTGAATCCGATTGAAATAATGGTCTTCTAAACAGATCTTAAAGTTCTGAGTCAGTACAAGGTCATAAAATAGATCATAATCTGCCAATTCGCCCTGAGCTTTTGGAGTTATGTAATTTGGCTTTTATGAATCTAATGTTCCTCTTGAATTAACCCGTTTCATTGTGTACTTCTCCGGTATGTTCTCTGCTTGAAAAAAAGCCCCACGGACAATTAGAGAGCGCATGACTCCTTGTGGCAAGCCCAAAGAGCAAAAGCGCGTACTTGCTGGCTTTAGCAGGAGCGCGCAGTACGAGGCGTGACAACGGAAGCGCGTTCACGTGTTTGCCACCGGCTCCTGCGCTGCGAGAAAGAGAGAGAGAGAAAGAGAGAGAGAGAGAGAGAGCATCATCAAAACACTGGCATACAGCTAGTTTCTTTTGCCCTCACGCCGACAGAGGACGGCCAGGAATTCAGAGGCTAGATTTAGTAACAACAACAACAACATTAGCTACTGAGACCAGAGGAGGCTGCGCGCAAAGCAGTCAAGGAGAGACGAGCATCCATCCTTGCATCATCAGCAGCGGCAGTAGTAGCAGGAGCAGATTCGGGGATTTTCCGTGTCGGTTGCCCGGTGTTCCACACACCCTGTGCCTTTGAAACAGCTGCTGCGGAGGAGGAGGAGGGAAGCACCAGAGAGGAAGGGGGATCATGGAGGGGATGCAGGCATACGGAGCAGGGAAAGCCGGAGGAGCCTTCGACCCCGTCACTTTCTTTCAGCAGCCTCAGACCATTCTCCGCATAGTGTCTTGGGTGAGTGACTTTTGGAGATAAAAAAAAAAATAAAAAAGAATAAAAAGAAAGAAAAAACAAGTTTGTTTGCTTTGAATAGAGCTATACTTAACAAAACCCCTTAAGTTTGGCATACATCACACCCACAAATGTTCAATATGAGTGTGAATTAACCTTGTTAGTGGCTGTTTATGTAGAAAGGGCCTAGGCAGGCATCACAGTAGTTAAGTGGCTGTATGCAGACAACAAATCCTTCTTTATCACTTTATTTTACTTCCTTTGTCTTATATAAATGGGTGCTAATACCTTGGATGTTCCCATTGTGTTTAAAGCACTAAATATGGAGTTTTCATTAGGCTGATGTAGGCCCAGAATTAGTTCTAATCACCACTAATAACATTAACTGCCCTCTTTTCTAATAATACATTAGTCAGCAACTCATATTTTCTAATAAGCACAGAACAACACACAGGCACACTCCAAGGATTTATTCACAAATAATCTCATAATTACTGCCCACCCTTTCTTCCCTCATGAGAGGGAGCATTATTGGAAAGGGATAGCAACAGTGAGGGCTGTTTTTAACAAGTGTAGCAAACATAAGGTGACAAGATAGGTCCTCCAATTCTCTAAAAGGTATATTAAAATAGTGGAGTTTTGTGTAAAGTTTGCAGATTTAAAATAGCAGCATGATAGCTCTTAAATCCAACAAAAACAGATACAACAATACACTAAAATGTACTCAACTGCCTCTTCTTCTAGTTTTAACAGTACATGTATATTTTTTGTTCCGGAAACCACAGATTTTTTCCCACTTTCCAGGATGAATAAGTACTTTGTGATAACTTACACTCGCTAACATTATTGTCCCTCAAAGGTTCTGTGAGGACCTTTTTTGATGGACTAAAATTCACATTGCTGCATTTTAATGATATAAAAGCAAGCAAGATCATCAGAGACAGAAATAGATTTTTTTGATAACCCTAACCCTCATCTGGAGAGAGGCCTGTAGGTGTCAGTCAAGTAGTTAAAGAAACAGCCCTGGTTTTATGTGTTCCACATAAAAATAAAAAAAAATTCAGACTAAATTATATTTTTGACTTTTTACGACTCATTGTGTCATCAATTGTGATTATTTTATGTGGAATTTGTAAAAGAAGGTTATTTCTTTAGCCCCTGAGCTGACACCTAACCCCTGCACGGCTTCGAGGCATTAAAACTACTGAATAAAAGTTACCAATCTTACCGCTGATGGTCTGGTTTGCTTTTGGATACCATGAAAAGGCATCCATATGAGTTTAAGTCCATTTTATAAATGTCAAAAAACTCCTCATAGGAGCTTTAAACTGACTTAGAATGTGCTAGAAGTTTTGTTTCCTTCAAATATTGTCTGAAAAACACTTTTATTATTATTTTCTTAGTGACAATAGCACAGGTTTTGTTACCAACTAAACCCCCATACTTTTGTTGTTGCTTCTCTGTAAGAACCATGCACACTTGCTTTAGCTCGAGGAGAAAAATGAAGTATGTGTTTACCTTTATGATGCTGCATCCCTGCTCAACACAATACCTAGCATGCTGGTTTACCCTTCAGGGTGCCCTTACTTTCCAGCAGAAAGTCATACAGATGAGACTGTGTTTTATTTATAGGTCTGCATCTGAGTGACTCAAAATAACTCTGGGAGTGTTTTCAGGCACACTGAGAAAATAAAGACACTATGGAAACAATACTTTCCAGCAAGTAGGCAAGAGCTGATCTGTAATCTATGCTTTCTTATGAAGTTATACATTTTTTTTTTTCTGGGAGACTGTGGTCTTATAGACACTTGGCTAGGATCTGAAAAAACTCTTTTACTGAGAAAAATGATTCACAGCTTACAATCAAATATTCTCACCCTGTGTTCAAATTTTCTGCCCCTTGTGACCGAGAGCAAATGAAACATAACTGTGACTTTCATATCTAAACTGTATGAATTAAGTGTGGAAATAGGTCAAGAGCGTGTTAACCCTTTAGTCTACATGTGAAGGCAGTCATGTGTGAGGAGTGAACCCTGATAGACTTTTTGATTCATGTCGTCAGGTCCAGTTTTCAGAGTGATGGTTGTAGATACAAACACACATGTTAGAAAGAGTCATTTGGTTCATTTTGTTTTATTTGGCATTTCCCAGTACAGGCCACAGACACTTGGAGCTCTGTAGATATCCTGTGTCACATTAAGCGTAAAAGATCTGCAATGATTCTAGCATGAAGGCAAAACATCGTGTTGAAGTTAGTTAGCAGAGCAGGACTGTTAGAAAGAAAAAAATTCATAACCATGTTTAAACAAGTGTGAAATTACTGGAATAAAAAAAGTCTTATATCAATATAATGGCATGTCCCTGTACACGGAGGCTGCCATCTTGTTTCTACAGTAGCACAGACTGAACAATCTAGATATGCTTTTTTGTACTTGGGGGCCATTTGAAATGCAGTGGTTTGGGGACAAAAATAGAAGATTAAAAAAGATAGGTGTTTATGATGGTAAAAACTTTTCAAATAGATATCGCACTTAGCATACAACCACTGCGTTCCACTGAATCAGGGGTAGACTGGTTTGCAGACTTGGCTGATTACCAGGACCAATATTTGGCATTTGGCTGATAACTGTATCAGTGTTTTATTTTACTGATTGCTGAAAAAGTTTGCAGCACTGGGTCCACTGTTGGTGTATCTTTCCCTCTGGGTCTGTTTTCACTCATCACTGCTCCTGCATGTAATGCTGAAAGTTTCAGTTTTGATAGGATTTTCTTAAAGGCATTTAAACTAAGCTTTGTGATGGAGTTTGTGATACTCCAAACTCTACATTTTGACAGACAGATTGTAATTTTTACTGTAAATATGCTTCAGCTCTAAGTATCAATTATCTGCCTCACATGCTACTAACTTTGTAGCGGGCCTGAAAGACAGATATCAGTCAGTCACTACATTATGTATTTCTATTGATATACGTTGTGCCTTTAAAACAATAGTTCAGTCATGGTGAAGGGTTTTATGTATTTTACTTTCATGGTGTTTGGTTCCTTTATTGGAGAAGAGAGGACAGTGGATAAAGGAGAAACAAGAGAAAGAGAGAGCAAGGTGATGTGTGCCACAATCAGGAGTCAAACCTGTCACAGTCTCCATCTGGCAAAACCTCTATTTATGCAACTAGCATTACTCATTGTGAGCGTAAACAATGTTCAAAAGTCTTTTGAAGAGTTTTGTGATATACTTTCAAAATAAACAGCACAGTATAACTCTCTCTTAAGAAATAGATAAGACGATCTTTATTTATCCCTGAAAGGGAAATTTGATTGTTTGAGTTGTAATGTCTCAAGTGTTATGTCATCTTTCATTTACTAAGATTACTTAGGAGCCTAGAATGTGTAATATTTCCACAGTTTGCTGCCATTTTCCTTAATTCCAACTTGTTTCGTGACCTCAAGTGTATTATTATTGCATAGAAAATCAATCTTACTGTAGCTGTTACTTTTAATGTTCCTGCAAATAGGTAGGCTACAAAGAATGTGGATTTTTTAGCAAGTAGTATAAGAGCTCTTTACAACTTCATACTTTATTTTCCCCCAAGTTCATGGAAAGACTCCAAACTCAGGAAAGTTTGGGTTTATAATTTCACTTTATTTATATGTTTTGAAAACAAAGTAGCCAATTCCACATAAAGCAACATATGAAAGCTGATTTATTTTATTTGTTTTTTTAAAAAATGAGAAAATGTTGAAGAGGGTTGCAAATCCATTTTGTGAGGATGAATGTGCTTTGTTGATTTCCTGTTTCATTCAAGAAATTACAGGTAGAATAAATGGCCAATTACCTTATCTAAAATTTAAAGCAAGTTCATAAGAATTAGATGCAATAGAATGTGTTGTTACCTAGAACAGGTGTGGTTTGTTTTCTTCACAAAAGGCCTAAACAATCATTATAAGTGCTGTTTTTAAAGAAATTTTAGTATATTGATTGTTAAATTTAATAATTATTTCAATATCTCATAATATTGTCATGGTCAACAAACTACACCTGATTTCTATTTAACATTACTCAACTTAAACACCACTGCACACAAACAACAAACCTGCGCACTTACAGGTATGAAGTGACTCTACAGGTCCCTGTGAGAAGCCCCACCTCTCTCACTGTCACCAGAGCAACAATGTGTCTCCATAGTAACAGCCACAGCCTGAGTTGTGATGTTTGGTGTGATGGTGCTAAAACTCAGTCTGCTGTGGATTGTGGTGGAGTAAACACTCTCAGCACTCTCAACATTTGGTGATGGGGAAGTCAAATACAGGCCTGTGTGTGCGTGCGTGCGTGTGTGTGTGTGTGTGAGAGATGGGGAGGATACAGGTGGGAATGGATGGCTTAGCCCAGTCATATTTGGAAAGAGAGGGCAGTTTGTGGATCCTCTTTTTCCTTGTTTCTGGCCTCTTGGGTTTCATGTGACAATAGTGAGTCTGTGTGTGTGGTTCAGCCTCAGGAAGCTGGTCCAGTATGTGTCTGATGATACCTGATGGATGGAGGAGATGAATTTAGTCACAGATGGAGGGAGAGCACTTTGTGTTTGATGATTCTCCAAATCAAAAAGTTATCTTTCTACCTTGGGTTCTACTTTTGATCTACTTTGGAAAGACCCTCCCCCCTGAGGGTCATTAACCTGAAAGGGTCGTTGACGACCCCTGTCATGTGACCACATGACTCATGCCACCTGAGTCATGTGGTCCCAGGTGTGAATGTTTGTGGAGCTTCCTGGGGAGAGAGCTGAGGACTGCATTGTATGTGCATTGAATGAAAGGGAGGAGAGACGCAAGAGCACTGTAATCCCTTACGTTGCAGGCCTGTCGGAAAAACTCAAGAGGATCTTTGGCAAACACCATATTCCTGTTCATTTCAAGCCTGGCAACACACTGAGGCAGAAGCTAGTCCATCACAGGGACAAAACACCGAGACATAAACAGAGTGATGTGGTGTATGCTGTCCAGTGCAGCGAGGAATGCTCTGACCTGTACAATGGGGAAACTAAACAACCGCTTCACAAGCGCATGGCTCAACACAGGAGAGCCACTTCCTCAGGTCAGGACTCAGCTGTCCACCTTCACTTAAAGGACACGGGTCACTCTTTCGAGGACAGCAATGTACAGGTGTTGGCTAGAGAAGACAGATGGTTTGAAAGAGGAGTTAAAGAAGCCATCTTTACCAGACTGGAGAAACCTTCTTTGAACAGAGGGGGTGGACTCAGGCACAACCTCTCCGGCACGTACAATGCAGTTCTCAGCTCTCTCCCCAGGAAGCTCCACAAACATTCACACCTGGGACCACATGACCCAGGTGGCATGAGTCATGTGGTCACATGACAGGGGTCGTCAATGACCCTTTCAGGTTAACGACCCTCACGGGGAATACCCAGAGATGGTTTTCTATGACCCATTCTTTTCAACTCCTTCCAGTCGTTGTCTGTCCCCTTCTCCAGTAAGATAAATATCTGCTCCTCACACTAGCAATAATTAGAACTGAAGTACAGATTATTTCTTTCTCTGCTTTTAGGCAATTCTTAAATTCTTGCTGCTCTTCAAGGACTTGGGTTCATTGTGAGGGCAGCTTATAACATCTTAAAAATCATTTCTTTGCGGCTAAATTTGGTGTTGGAGTTTCCTTTGTGCTTTATTCCACAGATGAATCATTGTGACTTTCAGAAGTCAACGTCTGCCACAAGCTGAATTTACAGACACTCAACTTTAAACTTCAGCTGGGAGAAGTGGGACATGTGATATGTGACTTTCTTTGAACATTATAGTTCAAGCAAAAATTTTTGCAAAATGAATGCTATGAAGATCAAAAAGGAGTAGCATTGAAATAATGTTGTATGGGGATAATGGCAGTCAAATGCCTCCATTATCAAGACATAATTCACAATTGTAATATTAGCTTTTACCTTTATCTGCACATTCCTTAAATTGTGCCTTTTTTTATCATTTCCAGTCACCTAAACTTATCCCTTATTCAGCTAATGAACTGTTCTCGGGTTCTCTCTCACTGACACACTCCTGCTTAACTGTAAAACCCAAATATAGAATAACGCAAAATAAAAAAAAGAATAAAAAAAATTCAACCATTCAGATGTTGTTGTGGGAGGCCTTTGGGGGTTAAAATGGAGTGTTTTCAAAAATGTAATGTTTTAGTAAGTTTTTACGGAAATGTTGTAATATTGCAATTTGGGTTAGCATTTCAGATTTAGCAGTGCCTATTAAGAGTCTGTAATTGCTGAGTAACTATTTGATATTAGCTTCACAAACACACACTTCTGCAGTGAGGTACACATTCTGGCAGCTCCATGTAAAACAGGAAGACACTCACACACAAACACTCACAGTTTGTTAGTGCCTACATGTCAGAATGCAGCCACAGCTTGAAAGCTATTTTAATATGCTTGTGGCATAGTTGAGTTTTACTAAGGCCTTTATGTGTCTGCAGAGCTTATGTTGCAGAAATTCTCTGTATGTTATGTGTCTGCAGCTTAGAGGACATTTATATTTTTACATTGATTTGTAATCCAATATCGGCAGTTACAGCCAGCAGCTAGGAATGTTAATGTATACTGGTATTTGTCCAGATAGTGTCACAAAGACCTTGACATGGTAGATTGTATTATGGTGGACCTAAGTTAAGGATTTCGGTCAAAGTGAGGATTATTTTAGCTAGTTACAAAACAGACTAACATAAATGTTTATGCCCTATTTATAGTATAACCTTGGCTCAAAGTATTCATAATATAATTGTAAGGAAATGTGAGCTTGACGTTGAATAAATCTTTAGAAATCCTCCGTGAGTGACGCATGTTTATCTGTGAGCAGAGAGGATGTGATCAGCAGTATAAAATGCAGATAGGATCAATAGTTGAGGTGGTCTTATACTCACTGGTAGACTCTCAGACAATGATGATTGGTGTGATGTGATTAAGTGGCTGAAAGAGGCCGGGATATGTGTCCAGGGGATTATTACAATGTAAAGAATCGCCTTACTTAGGGGGAAAAAAATCCTTAATCAGTCAGAAAACGTAGAAGGGAGGAAAACATGGCTGATTGTGGTATCATGATTGTACTTTGGTAAGCATCAACAGGGCTGATAAAAGGAGAGGTTCTCTGTTGAAGATACAGTTGACAACATAAGTTTACATAGAACAGGTTTCATAATGACATTATCCTGATATCTATGGAAAACATAAAAGGGTAAAGGAAAGGAAGTGTTTAACTCTAGCAGAGCTAGTGCCACTATCCTTCACTTCTTGCAGATTAAAACCCATAAGCCTGTGCAGGTTACATATTGCTATTAGGTGGTTGTCATTCAGTTTAAGTAAACACTGCCTACATATAACTTTATCTCCATATTTTAGATGACAGCCATGACAATTGTTACTTTTCTACAAGATGCCCTCTGCCGACTCGGACTGTACTTTTTGTGCCTATTTAGACACAAAATTACTGGATGTCTGAAACTGTGCCAAGATAAAAAAAAATATTTGGAATTTCCCTTTGAGATGGATATAACATCCAGTCAAAATGCACTTTATGCAGCTTTTTTTCAGCCCATGTGAACAAAGCGTACATCTCATCTTCTGCTGATCTCGCGTACTAGTCTAATAAAAAAGATCTGCTAACCAGACTGGCTGCAGTCATACTGGATTCTGTTGCTCTGCTTTACATGATCAAGGAACCATCTGTTTCCTTATAATGATAAAACCTTGTTTTCTGCGATCATGTGATCGTGTTTTGCTAATTGCCTCTGTAATTTGAAGGTAAGGGATTGTAGTGCATCAAAAAGAGAGGCAGGCTGAGGAGAGCAGCGTGCACCAGTTGGTAGAACAGAGTGCAGACATACTGGACTTGGGATTGTGTCTCTCTGTCTCTCCTCAGTGCTGCAGTGGCTCTCCTTGAATTGTACTTTAACAAGGTCTCCTCCCTCTATCACTTTCTCTCTCTCTCTCCTGCTCTCTCATTACATGAGCAGCCGCTGCCATGGTGACAGCAGCAATCAGGTATGCCCAGTCCAGGGTAGTATGCTGCAGCAGCAGACAATAAGCCACACACAGAGTCAACACACCCTGATACACAAATATCCTTCAGCAGTGATCCTGTATTATTCAGAGGTCCAGCTCGTTCACTGCAGATTGGGAGTATGACAAAGTATTGATGTGGCCAAATAATGCAAGCATGTTGAACACACCTTGACCCATACAATGCCGAATATCTATATTTAGATTTTAAAATAATTCAGCATTTCACTACATAATGACTCATGCTCATGACATCAATATGAGCCATAGTGCAATTTGCCTATTCTGTAAAGCCAAACCTGGGACAGAGTCGGCTCCTTCTTCTACTGTGGTTGCTTTGGAGTGGCAGCATGTCGGTAGTTGCGTCTAGAGAGGATTATTATGTCCTTGAGTGCCTTGTGTAAGCTTGGAATACACAAAGCACACAAATTAAATGGAACTTTGAATGAGTTTGATATTAGATTACTATAGATTAGCGGTTGGAGTAGGCCAGGGTCAGAGGTGAAGGGAGTTCTGAGAATTCAGGATCTGCTTCTCAGAGGACAGTTTTTTCACCACGAGATTAATCCGTATTTTTGCACAAATCAAGCTGATTATTTGGTTGATAAAGGGCGGCAACTAGAGCAGAAAACAAGGCTAGGCCATTTGTGCCCCATCTACACTGATTACTGTAAAACAAACGCATGATTTTTCGCCTATCTTGCTGTTGTTATATAATGTATTTGTATTTGGCAAAGTTTCATCGTCACTATCTGAAAGTGAGAGCTCAGTATAGCAGAGATGTATATCATCTCTCATTTATTGTGATCGGAATGTGAGTCGGCCCAGAGACACTTAACAGGAGTTGTTCACTATGAAGATGGCGAATTATAACTTGGCATCCAACCAGTGTTGAGTGTCACTACTAATATCTGTCTTTTGTATTTGCTTAACATATATTTTAAAATCAAAGTGACCTCCTACTTACTCACAACTCACTTACAGGGCTTCAAAACTCTTGCTGTGGTGTGTGACAGACTTATCATCAATTGACATGTGTCATCATCTCCTCAGATCACACCTCATTCTGTCCCAGTTTTCCAGCGTCAACACATGCCAGCAGGTAATTTGTCAGATTCACTCCACAGATCATCACATCAGCGCTCCTATAAGTGTCACAGTGGGCAGGATGCTATTTTACTTAAGCTAATAAAACAGCAGCTGCATGTTGCACATAAAACTGTCATCACATCATATCAGCGGCTCAGCCTCTGCCAGAAATCTGCTTTTCTAAATTTGATCTTAATATTTCACAAGCAAAAAGTGCATACACCATAAATCTGAATTTACAACCACCAATTCAGCAAATTGTGATTTCCTCAATAATAAATCCAAACCAAAGTGATTAATTTCCAAAGCAATGAGAGTTTTTACATTTGTGTGTCACAGTTGGACCTCAGCAACATTAGAGCAGGTCAAAAGCTGCAGAGAGCTGCAGCAACAAAAGGTTGATCAATGTTCTATCATATTTCATTGATACTGGGATGATTCGAACCATGACATTAATCATGTTGGAGGCTAACGTGGTTAACAACAGTGCAAATAAACACTCATGGCTAAATTGGCTCACTGTTGTTGCTCTAAAAACAAAAGGCTGAGTTCATGGTCGCATATATGGCAAAACAGAAAAAAGACAAGACCAGGGTAGATGCATTCATAAGTATTACAAGTCAATAATTATTAATAATGAACATAATTTACTTGCATATCATCATCCATTTTATAATTATGTTAAAATTTATTATATATCCACATCAGCAGCTGTGACATTAAAGGTGGGGTAGGCAGGATTCCGTTAAAGAAGCATCTTTTTTGTGGTGTATATACAAAAAAGCTTGAAATATCAGTCAATAGCTATTAGTTATTGATGACATTTGGTAATATAACGATATCGCTGCGTTTTGTTACGTCTGTGTAGGAAACATTTTAAATTTTTTGATGGAGCAGAGAGGGAGGGGAGAGGAGGAGCTGAGGGGAAAACTGGTTGAGAGGGGTAAAGTTTACATTCAAGATTTCTCCCAAAATCTGACACTTCCTCAGATCCTGCCTGACCCCACTTTAACTCATAAAACAATGACTTTTATTTTGATATTTCTTCTGTTTTGCGTTGATGTTGCTATATTTCCTACATTGAAAAAACATGCTTTTATTTTGAAGTATAAACTACACCAGGTGGATCGTAGATTATAAAACTGAAGTTAAAAAATGGTTGAAAAGTGTTCATGTTTAATCATGAGCGTCAGCATTACATTTACATTTTTATGATATGTCACAACCAGTATAAACAACCTTAGCTACAAACTTATTTGCTTATTTTCAGAACAATATCAATATACAGCCATTCAATAAAGACATTTATCATCGCCACCAACATTTTGAGACAATTCTGGTCTCACATTTAGACGGGCATGTACCTTCTTTTTCCACTAAAAACATATTATCCCCCGTACTGTTTGAAAAATAAGGATCATATGGATTATTGAGGATTATTGTGGTTTCACATGAGCCACCTTCTCAGGTCAAAAAAACAACAATGAGCAAAGCCACTGAGACTGTGTTTGATAGACTCACACTGTTAACAAAAGTCTCATAAATTCATAAATCTGAAGGTTACAGTCACTTCACTCTGCAGACTAGTATGTCATTTATTGGTCCACTGTGAGCACACTATGTCGAAGGCCACAGTTAGAAAGACCTGAACAAAGTGCAATGCCAAACTATGGTGTGTGTGTGTGTGTGTGTGTGTGTGTGTGTGTGTGTGTGTGTGTGTGTGTGTGTGTGTGTGTGTGTGTGTGTGTGTGTGTGTGTGTGTGTGTGTGTGCTGCTGAGTCTAATACAGGATTTTGTTCGAGGTACAGTGTGTAAATACCAGGGTGACCAGAGGCCCGGCTCAATTGTCTGGCCTTTACAAAGGATCCGAAAGGCCTTTCATCCTGCACAACAGGCAGCCAGACTGGACTGCTATGATTTTGGCCTACACAGGGACATCTGAGATATCTGTTTGCAGTGTGGGTGTCAGAGCATTTGATGTGAGATAGATTCTAGCTTTGTTTTAAAGTAAAGCAATAAGGGGAAAATGGAGTTCCAGTAAAAGTAAGGTAGAAAGAGTTTGAAAAACTTAATACACATAGTTTAGAAAGAATGTACACACACACACACACAATTCTGCAAACCTAATGTGCAATTTGTAAGTGAACCTCTGATAGTCACAAGATCTGAAAGCCACGTGGTGTCCTTCACAGTGCTTGCCTTCATCATCACCAGAGGCCTTGTGATCTGTAGACGGATCAGAGGAGCCGGGAACTACCCTATACACACACACACACACACACACACACACACACACACACACACACACACACACACACAGCTTAAGATGCTGTATAACAACAGTATCACAGCTAAAAAGAGTGGGGGAGGGTGTGAAAGACATAAATGAAACCATGTCACATGTCACATGTCACAACTTTTACGGCTCCTCGGTGAGAGAAGAGTGGTGCCGAGGTACGGGGGTTAAACTCTCTACAGTTGAACATATTCTGTGAGCTCCATCTCTTAAGACCTAAGGACGTCCTCACACGAGGACGGCCCCATATTGTCTTGGCATCGGCACCAAAACATGTATCGCTGTTTACACATCGTATTGTACATAGGCTTAGTGCATTTACATGACAACGCAAAATCCATGCAAAATCCTGTAGTACACACGCCCGGCCTAAAGGTTCGGGTTGCCTGTCTGGTTCTGCTCCGAGGTGGATTCCACGACAACAAGTTGTGCACGCGTAACATGCTGTGTCTCTGCATGAGCACTTGTTGCTGTTGTTGCCATAGCTGGTGTTGCTGTTCTAAATGTTGGTATAAAAGTCGTAGCAATATTTGTAGTTGCTGGATCAAGAACAAAATCACCCCAGCTACCGCCATTGTTGTTGTTGCTGTATGTGTGACACCGTGGGTCGGGGGGCAGGGAGGGGGAGGGGTGCTATGAGGTCACCGTCTTTTCCGGACGTGTCTATTTATACCAACTACGGCATGAAGACGAATACCCAGATATCCACCTGCAGACCCGTTTTCAAAAAAGATGCGGAGTCATGGACAAATACGCATCTCCGTGTGTCAATATCACCAGATCGATTGTTTATTTTTCCGGTGTCTTACAAATTTGTACTCATGTAAAGACCACCTAAGACTTAAGACCTAAACTAGTTTTTTCTGCTGTAATAACTTCTCTTCCCTGGGTTATTACAAGATAAAAAAAGGCCATTAAGGCTTTATAAACAACCTTTTGTGTAAACAATACTACATAGTATGAAGTATGAAAAAAGCTAACCGTGGTGAGATGCATGGCTGCATTCAAAAAGTAGTTGGCAGTTTTGAGTCTGTGGGCTCTACTTTCGTGTACGCCGGTGAGGCGACGGAGGGTGGCGGACCCCGCACAGTTGTATTTTTGTCTGGCGGAGCCTGGCGTACAGCCAGTTTGGTATTTTCGTGGACTGAGGCGTACGGAGGCGAACCGAGATCCACCAAGCTGGGCGTGGTGGCGGGGCAGGGGGAGGTGTCGACAGAATCAGTGGGCGCAGTGACATTTTCGTGCTTGCCATTGGCGTGTAAAGTGCGCTGAAAGCTTGCCGATTCAAACCTGGTCAGCTTTCAGCGCAGGCGGAGTGCAGCTGGTCTAGTGGTATTTTGGTAGACCGGCAGCGTATCGACATACGTCACCGATGCCTCACCGGCAGGTTTCCACAGTGTCAGGCACATTTCAGTGCAATAAATAATCATCAACAACTAATAATCTGAGTTAGCACATACATTTAGATCTATATAGATATATTCTGATCTGATGAGCGCGTTTGGCACGCGTTTGGACATGCAAGCTGACCGAATCAACACAGCTGAAACCACATTAAATTAAATTAAATATCTAGTAAATAAACACACATGATGAAGTTAACAAGATATTCAATTTGTCTCCCTCCTTTTCTTTCTTCCTCTTCCTCTTATTTCTCCCGCAGCTCGACCTGGACATGTCTCCGTGTCCTCTCTCCGTCCTGCTGCAGCTGCGGCTGAACAGATGATTTGTTTCAGTGCTCAGATGAGTTATCTACTTTAAGCCGACATACGGATATTATAATATTCAGTTTTGTGAGCCAAATTTATTTTATATGCCAACATCTATGAAAGAAAGAGCCAGGCCACGGAGCGCAATGCGTCATTTACGCACAGATGGTTCCGATTTTAATGCCATTTTTGGAGTTAATGTTGTGATCTGTGCGCACAACCCACCTTTGTCACGTGAGGTTTGAATATATGCAACTTTATGTCAGTGAATCCCTCAAAGCACATTGGCTGCAAGTGTTACATGACAATAATACACTTAATGGTTTATATTTAAGAGATTTATCAATGTCTTGCCAAGTTTGTGAAAAAATTAGTGGAGGAGCAAGGATGCTCACATTCTGGCTCTTGAAAAGGAATTTGTCTGGCTGTTGAATCTATGTTAACATTAGTGCAGGATTACACATAGAAAGAGCAGTACACCAACATTTAAACAGCCGGCAGTGTATTACACATTGTGTACGTATGACTGGCTGCCTATTAAGCCAGCACAGGCTACAGTATCCTACCATCCTTTCTTTCACTCTGGTACAGGAGTCGCCTTTTTCACCTTCTTTCTGAGACTATGGTTAATGCCAAGCTCAAGTTTCCTCTCATCAAGGAATATGTTTGCCTGCAGCTTTTGTTGAGAAAACTTGCCCACATGATGCTGCTATACAGGGGCATTGCATTGCACTGTACTTGATTGAGGTGGAAATCACTAGTGGCCCCATGATACGATATTATCACTAAACTTGGGCCACAATTGAATATTATTGCGATTTTAACATTTTGCAATACAGTGAGTATTGCAATACAATATATTGCGATTTATATACAAAACCCAATTCCACTTAAGTTGTATGTTATTTATATGTAAACCAAGTCTAACTCCACAGGATCAAAACCAAACAAAAAACCAAGGTGGGTGCCTGGCAGACACTAGCCCTCCAGGAGGGAGAGAGGGAGCCATTTGAATTCCCCCAGCTTTTAAAGGGCTCCACACAAGTGGAACCAATCCCTGAATGAGAGGGTAGGGGCAGGCACTCCAGGTGCATCTGGAAGAGAGAAACAGAGGCAGGAAAACAGGAAACACACAGCGCCCCCTAGGCCTGTGCCTGTCACACGGGCACTATTTTCATGACTCGCCCATGGTGTGGCATAGGCGCGGCATAAGTCAGGTCCGCCCTGCCAATGAGGCGTGCCCAAGTGCACTTTGGTATTTTGGTAAGCGGCGCTCCCCGGCTTAAGTATCCCCCCTCCCTAACTCAGCTCCTCCCTGTGGTGTAAGTGGGAAAGAGAGAGGGGAGAAGGCATGGAGTGGGTTTAACGCAGAGTCCTGTTTTCACCAATCATATCAGCTTCTCTCCTCACTTTGAAATCCGCCACCGGCAAGGCGTATTACAGTTTTTGTGAAGTAGTCGAAGAGATCAAGAGATGGCTGAATGCCACACGATGGCGAAGAGGCAGCCTCTCAACAAGTGTCACGGTAAGCACAGCAGGGCGTCCTCCACACTCGGGGGACAAATTCAATATCTTGCTAACTTCATCATGTGTGACTATTTACTGGATATTTAATATAAAGCTGTTTTAGCTGTGTTAATTCGGTCAGGTTGAGTGTCTAAACGCGTGCCAAACGCACTCATCAGATAAGATATAGATCAGAATATATTGATATAGATCTAAATGTATGTGCTGACTAAGATAGTTGTACTGAATACTGGTTGTTGTTAAGTATCTACTGCACTCAAATGTGCCTGACACTGTGGGGACTGCCTATGTAGCATTGGCGACATGTGCGGACTATGCTGCTGGTCTACTAAAATACCACTAGACCAGGTGCACTCCGCCTGCGCTGGAAGCTGACCAGGTTTGAATTGGCGAGCTTTCTGCACATTTTCCACACCGCTGGTGGGCACGACAGTGCCACTGTGCCAGCTGATTCTGTTGACACCTCCCCCTACCGCGCCACCATGCCCAGCTAGGCGGACCTCTGTGTGCCTCACTCTACGAAAATACCTAACTGGCTGTGCACCAGGCTCCACCAGATGAAAACACCACTGCACAGGGTGCGCCTTCTTCCGCCGCGCTGCTGGCGGACACAAAAATAGAGCCCCATATATCACCAAAAAAAATATTGCAATACTATGCTGTATCGATTTTTTCTCCAACCCCTAGTACATGATACCATACTGTACTTTACTACTTTATTCAAAAATGACATTTATTAAGTTGTCATTTTTCTCTAAACCAATGCAAATAATGCAAACAATATTATTTAATGTTATTTTTTTATGTTCAACTAATTCAACTAAATAATTACGGTTTCGTAATGATCTGTGTATCTCTGTCATCTGTGCCTCAGCTCCAGCCATCAAGAACTCTGCCGGAGAAAAGCTCAGCAGTTCAATCTGCTCCTTGCCATGTGACAGCAAATATAATTGTGACCCAGAAGACAGCGCGCTTTCAGACCAAACCAACTAGGTCATGCTAAAACCTATCCTTGTTTCATGAGGGGAGTTTGTGTGTTTGTGCCACTGTGAAAGGAAAAGTGTGGGACATAGAGGCACAGAGGAAAAGGATGATCCCTGGTGGTGAGTATAGCTGAGATTGTCAGGGGAGAGTCAGAAAACCAAACTGTGTTACACTTAAAGGTAGTGGCCCTGCAGGTCCTGTTGTCCTTGTTACCAAACAGACTGTGCTTCTCTGCATCCGTTACACCAAAATAAAAGAAAAAGAAAAAAAAACACAAGGGAGACAGATGGATATGTTCTTTAGTCACTGTGTGGACCCAAACCTCATTATCATCATCATGCCTGCATTTTGGGGCTTTTAAATCTATGTTAAAAAGCAGTTAGGACAGAGAGGTCAGGAATTATAGGTTATGCACTGTCAGTCATTTCATAATCCAAGTGTAGAAATTTGACTGTGTGGTAACATATTCAACAGCAGCATCTCTGCAGGTGCTTGAAAGTCACCTATCGTCACCCTATTAAAATAATGGCCTAATTCATTTTTTGACAAAAATGAGTTTTTGGCTTAAATTATCACTATAATGCTGGCCACCTCCGGTAAAATCGCCTTAAGGATTTATATTTAAATGTGGACCGCTGTATCGTATGCAACAACAGTTCAAACTATCATGCAGTCACAGGTGGAGTAAGGAGAGCAGGGAGTGGAGCAGGAAGTGTGTGGGGCCTAAAAAGCCAAGGAATGACATAAGCATGACCACAACCAGGCTGTAGCGGTAACAGACGGGAACAAGGGTTAACAAGCAAATATAATCCTTATTGTTGACAACATGTAGAGAGACAGAGATGGACAAAGATGAAACTGATGCACATTGAGCTCAGGGACTCTCAGAAAAGACTGTGTATCAGTGACTCTGATGGGGCAGTCTAAACCTATAGCAACATAACTAAAGGCTAGTTCAGGCCTGAACCTGCTCTGTCTATAGGCTGGAGGGATCTTCATCTTCAGATGCAAGTATGCAAGTGTGCAAATAAATACAAACAGACCCGTTTCCCTTTTCAGTTGCTGCATCTTTGTATTGTTCTTACTCTAAAAGGATAGATCATAAGGTTTACTGTGTTTTCTCTTGTGCTTTTGTGCTCTTGTGTGAGTATGAGTGTGTGAGACTTTGTTATTTTGACCTGAATACAAGAAGCCATTCATGTGAGGCAGTGAATAAACTGTGCATTGGAGCTGTATATGCTTGTATGTGTGTTTTTGTGCGTCTTTGTCGTAGCACACTCCTTTATCTCAAGACTGCTCTTGGGCAGAGTCAGGGCCAGTAACGAGGAGTGATGGGAGAAGACGAGAGGGAGTGAGCGAGCGATGATGCAGCCGGTCTAAAATTAGCGCCGCCTCCATACCCCTTCTGCCCCCAAAGCTTCCAAACGCTCTTCCCTGCTGCAATTTCTCCATCTCTTCATCATCTCTCTCCTTAATGAAAAAAGGGCTGCAAGTAGATGGAGGGGCGATAGAGGTGTTACTACCCTCTTCCACACATCCTCCATTTAATGAAGAGGGGAGTGCATGAGAGGGGACAGGGGGAGGGCGAGGGAGGTAGAAAGGTTGACCATGCTTGCTAACGTTGTTCCAGTTTGACACCAAGATGCAGACTACAAATGCCAGCTCATGTTTCCTCACTAAACGCTGTAGAAAGCTATTAGCACTGCTCTTAGTTTGTCATTAATGTGGGAATTATTGATGTTATTTACTGCGTGGTGGCACAAAATGACCCTGAATTATACTCAAACTTAGGGACCCACTTGTGTTAAGGCTGATTAATACAAGAAATCAAATCTATACTTAATCAGATACCAAATTTGTTCAAAGGTTAAACATGAAACTACTGCTTTCTTTTCTGTATCAAATCCCCTTCCTACTTTTATCACACGGTCCATCCTGACAGCAGCGCTGACATGCTGTTTGTTTTTCTGTTGCCTCAGATGTTGAGTCTTTACCATCGACAGCAAAAACATGTTTTCCTGGTCATTCACAGTGTAAAGACAGACTCTAAAGGGCTGCAGAGAAAAACTGAGCTGTAATCCCAGTCATGACTGACATCCTTGTTTCCATTCGGCCTGGTTGTCTATGGCCTTCATGGTCAGGCAGCTGTCAGTGGAAGAACAGTCTATTGTGCGTTCTCCCTTTTGTATCGCTGACATTAATTACATAAACAGACACAACAGCTGGGTAAACTACTGGAGCAGCTCAACAGCTCAAAGTCCATTTGTACTCTTTCTCTGAGACCCATTTTTTACAACTTCTCTTTTTGGATTATTTGAGGACATTTCAGCTCTGACATTTTCCAGAATTTTCTCTCACACATTGAACTAAAAGTTGTAAATTATTGCTGTCATTTGCAGTCTAACAACCCAAAATACTCCATCTGGTTTAAAGAATCTGAGTGGATACTGAAGTGCATGTAAAACACCTTAGTCCTACTATAATCAGAGTTCTCTGATTGGAGTCGGAGAACTCTGATTAAGACACCCAGATAATGCGGTTGGAATTCGATTTTCTCTACCTTGTAACCAGCATAATCGGAGTATGATCAGACAATGTAACCGCGGAACAAAAACACCAGCGAAGTGGCACTATCATTGAAAGAACTTTCAACTCAGAAGCAACTGCAACATGGCTCAAGCCCGAAAAAATGTCCACTTTTGGAATGATGAGGAGAGTGCTGTAATGCTGCCCGTCCATTTTAAAGTATATTGACGGTCGCAAAACGAGGAACGGAGACATCTTTAAAAAAAGTCCGGAAACAGCGCCGCTGAAAAGACCCATATTGCCCCTAGTTTTGGGCAGGAAAACACATTCAATAATTCGATTTTCTCAGCTGCATGTATACGCCGACAAGGAGAGAAGTCTAATTAAGCTGTTTATGTAAACGAGTTATACTGGCATCTGAGGAAGCAGGATGTCAAGTGAAGTCAGTTGTGCACTTTTTGCGGGTTTGTTTAATGTCGTTACCTTTGCAAGTTGGCACCAGAATTATCAGCAGGTTAATTTAAAAATTGATGTTTTGAATACTTAAAGGCCTGAAATGCTTGGCTTGTGTTGTGACAAAGCTGTAGTGCAGAAAACCTGCCACTAGCCGGGGCTGCAGCCCCAAAAGTTGCTATAATGCTCTACTGTCTAAATTTAAACAAGTACAGATGGCTGATGGCATCTCAAAGCCTCATTTGGCAGACATGGACATTAAAACAATGGTGGTGCTAGCTCTGCTTGCATTGGTTACACTTAGCAAAACCATTCAAAATCATCCCTACTCAGATACAATAATTCCACATTTAGCTTTGTTCTGCTCAATTTTGGCTTCAGTTCGGAAACCTTTCTAATCTCTTGAACAGTTGAATAGTTTACATTTTAATTTGTATTTGAATTACCAGGAAATCAGTTGCTTTGGACTCTCTTCCCTCACTATATTGGAAACCTTTACTGCAACCCTCTTCTGACTATTTTGGAAATCATCTTTAAGAGGTGGAGGCTGCCTCACTGACTGAAATGCACCAACCTGGCAATCAGATTTGCCATGCCCCCTATTGCAGTGCCATACCATAGATAATTTTAGCCTCAGTGATATTTATTTGGGTGAGTTATAAAAATAATTTTTTTTTTTATGAATGATGAGGAAGAGATGAGGTGCTGAGACTGAAAGTGTTTTATTGTGTCATAATGGATGCTTAAATGATTCCTGATGGGCCTCCAGTGGACAGACAAGGAACTGCACTGATTTGGCACCGGTATCAGAGGTTGCCGCTTCTATAGGGCAATAATATTACGCTTAACAGTACTACTGAACAACGCCATCTCTCTCCCACTTGCAGTGAATGTTCTTCACTAATACCTGTGACTCTCACACATTGGCTCAGCCTCAGCCTGGCCTGGCAAAAAGTCAGGATACAAAATTCAAGATGTCTTTGTTGGGGTTTCTGGACTACAGGAAAATGTTGGTAAGATTTCAGGGTTGCATTGCGTGGGTAAAGTGGGACTACAAACATTCAAGATCCATCACTCACACAGTAAAATCCACATTCAGACTGCAGACAAACATAAACACACTCAGACGCGTGGTCTCATCCAGACTCAATGGGATCCCTAGAGGTTTGCTAGGAGGGTTTGTCAGTTGGATGGAGTTGTCTGATCGGCTGCTATCAAGTGAAGTACAAAGCGAACTGCTTCACTGACTGCACTGCAGGGTGGAACACCAACTATGTGGCTGCCTGTGTGTGTGTGTGTGTGTGTGTGTGTGTGTGTGTGTGTGTGTGTGTGTGTGTGTGTGTGTGTGTGTGTGCGCGTGCGTGCGTGCGTGCGTGGTCTTATGTTTGCAGTGTTTCTGTGATGCTGTAATGATTGGAGGACAGCAGAGGAAAGGAGGAGAGAGAGGGGTTCAGATGGTATCTTAGTAACCTGCTCATGTTATCGGCTCCATTTCGTGCTTTCACTCATTGAGGTAAAAGGCGGACAAGGAGGAGAAGAGAAAATGAGAGAAAGAACAGAGGGATTGAGGATGAGAAAGAAGCATGCGGAGGAGTAAAAAGAGTGAGGGGTCAGACGCTATCATAGGAAACTCCCTCTACCCTCATATTGACTTCATTTTGTCATCACTTTGAGGATATTACATGAGGCCTAATTTGCTCATTTGCAACTTTCACCATCAGTCTGGGGCAACCTATAGAGTAGCTTTGCATGACTTGCTGATTAAAAAACTCCTTATTTATCTTACAATATATTAATATGTCTGTGAAATCCTTATTTCTCCGCCTGAAACATTTTGGATGCTTTTTCAATGATGTTAAGTTAGACGCAGCTTTGTGGGTGTTACCTTTTACACAGTTTTGTTGTCCCGTCAACATCAAAGGTTATGCCTTGACAGAAAATTGTTAAGTCTAGCCGCTAGTATTCCCTCAGCTCCCAGTTTATCCAAATTAGAGTACATTTGTCAGTGCTATATTACCTGTCATTATAATGTTTCTTCAGGTTCTTTCTTCTGGTTCTGAGCATAGGTGGGGTTTCTGAGTTTAACAGCTCCAGGTTCTGGTGAAAGTCTAGATGTGGCTCTGCTCATTCTGGCCCTTGTTTACAAAAGAGTCATGAGCGAAATTAGGAGTGCAGCTGCTGTGGCTCATGGGCAGAAAACATATTAACCACCAACTATTGTTACTAAAATATGTCAAGAAATGTTGCTGCCCCCTATGTGTTATAGATTGTGGAACTTTGCTGCAGTTTCATATGGACATCAAACTTTGTGAAACTGTACAGATCAGCATTATAGGTCTCCCTTTAGGCTTGATGGTTTCTATAATAAGGCTCAATAGGAAGTTTTCAGTCATGTGATCCTGACTTCGCGCGAGGACCAAATGGAGTAGCCTGGCTGTGCTATCCTATTGCGTGAATCACTTGACGTTCCTTCCCACAACAGTCTGGACTTCGGCCCATTGGAAGCCCTGAAAGTGGGCGGGAGTACTTTTCTTGATAGACAGACTACTGTAACCAATCACCGTAACCAAGCATCTGACATCATCACAGATGCTTGGTTACGGTGATTGGTTACAGTAGTACATGGACCAATCAGGGGCTGCCTTTCCCTGTTGTCCGGGTAACAGTGAGAACACGGTCTCTGATTGGCCCGGTTATTTTCTGATCGGGAATACACGCTCCCAATGGGCCGAAGTCCAGACTGTGGTGGGAAGGAACGTCAAGTGATTCACGCAACAGGATGGCACAGCCAGGCTACAAATGGAGGGCAGGAAGCGACCGACTGCAATTTAGATGCGTGCCGGTACTTAGATGAAGTTTACCACCTGCTTTGGGCTGCATTCAAACAACCCGACTCCGAGAAGACTGGACCCCGGCGCAACGGGGGCCGCTACCGGCCCCACACCGTCCACGGGATTCGGCGCTGGGCTCTTCCCTCTTCGTTTGCCGCTACTGAGGGAATCCTGGTTAGTTTCTTTTCCTCCGCTTAGTAATATGCTTAAATTCAGCGGGTCGTCTCATTTGATCTGAGTTCGTAGTCGGAGGATGGGGGTCGGGGAGCGGGGATAGTGGGCCGAAAGGACCCCCTTTTTCCCCATCCCCATGCAAATCTTTGAGAAAGAGCATATCAGGAGAGCTACAGTAAAATAATTTCTCTTGAGTAGTGAATAATGGTGCTCTGTTGCCCTGAGTCTCAACTTCTTGATGCACTTTGGAGCAGAAGCAAATCGGGTAAGCTACAAGGATGAGCTGGCACTTCATCTACCATATTACTGTATCAAGGAAACTGACCAAGAGTGAATCATAAAATCTGGATTCTCGCGAGCAAGTATTGGAGGCTCTTTCTCAAAGATTTGCATGTACTGAAAGCCAGAAGACCTAGACGACTGGGGAACCATCGTTCCTTACTCTGACGCTATCAAACTCTTTGTAGTTCATACATTCTTTCCTATTTGGAAACAAACTAACAATATTGAAAAGCTGCACAAAGCTTGATCACCATGCTAAAAGTACTTTTGAAGTATAAAGGAAACGTTGAAAGGGCTCAGGGAAACCAGCAACAAAATTTCAGGGTGCATAGGTAGAAGTTATTTGTCAACCCTAGGATCCAGGACATGCAGGTATGTCCAAATGATTCTCCCATGAAGCTAAGATCATTCATATTCTGGATATAGATGCAAATAGAAATGAAATGCGATGGAAAACTTAGCAAAAATAAGCTATTCTAGCCATTTTTCATATAAATATGGGATAACATACAAATGAAAACACTCAAAAAAAGCATTTTGCACTATGAGGAAGTAATATTTTACGCAAGCAGGCAGGTGGGGCTGACTTCAGATGAGGTCAGGACTGTATAATGTGCCCAATATGGCGATTTTCGACCTAATGTACCACACATTTTGACTGATTACTCAAAAAGTTATGGAATGCCCATCCTGAAACTTGCAGGGATGCTAGTGGACATAATAGTCTTTCTTTACAGTGAATATGAAAAGGGTAATGAAATCCTTTTGGTAATTTAGTCTTCATTGACTTTAAGCTCTTCTCCAGTTGGATAATTACAGAGTTTATTTGCCTCTGCAGCCTCTGTGCAAACAAAGTGGGTTAAAGAGAATAATAAAAAGGACGCAAATGCTCTTAATTTTACATGCATCTGTCATTTAGATAAAAATGAGGAAATACATGACTCTTACCTGATTCTTTTTTAAAACTGATACTACTTCTTTGCATCCTCATCCCTATAACAACATACTAAGCATCAACACTGAGCACTGTGAATGTGTTGTTTCTATTACTGTGTGTTTAGAAGCTGTCGTTTTGAATTACAAACAGCACAGGAAGCCAATTTTTACGAAGTTAAACTTAATATTTTGTGAGAAAACCCAGATGCATGTGGAGCAAAACTGCTTTAAAAAAAGACACAATGGAATATTCATAATACTCCCCCCTGCAGGGTTACCATGACATTATGGGGCTCGGAGTGTCACACCTGAGTGTTTTCCCTCTTCAAATATTATCCAGTCGGTCTAAAATTACCGCGGCAGGTCATGTTCAGTCGTGCTGTCAAGGGCTTTTACGAACTGAAGAGCAAAGCATACTGATCAAGAGCAGGTTGAGTAAGTGGTTCACATATACAACACTTAACAGGTTGTTTAGGCCTCACACAAAGTCCAAGTCAAACACTCACACAGAGAGGTCTTTGGACAGCATAGAAGTTAAAACAACACAAATGTTTACTTAGTTAATGCTCATGTGAGGAGTTTTTCTACCTTTATGAAATAGACTTAAATTCATGTTGATGCTCGTATATGACATCCAAAATCAAACAAGACCATCAGCCACAACACTAATAATAGTGATGTCATCATTTTTAATTCTTGCAACTGCTGTGAGGGGGTAGGTGTCAGCCAAGTAGCTGAAGAAACAGCCCTTAATTTTTCACATGAAATATACACGATAAAGGACACATTTGAATGTCAAAAAGTCAGCAGGATGAGATTTTATTTGGCAAAAGTATCTATTTAAGCATATTGAGGATAAGATGAAAAAAGGCTGCTTTGTCAACAGGGGGTGCCAGAATGGACATAAACCAAAAGTTTCCTACAGGAGTTTTAAAACTCCACCAAAGTGAAACATAAAATATGATTTAAGAAATGACATTGCTTGCTATTCTGAATATTTTTATTTGATTGGTCATCTGTACAGTTAAAATAAAAAAGTTGGTTTGTCTCATGACTAAAATCAATCTCAAATTCTTTCCAAAGTTTCCACCCTAAATAATTTATTTCAATTATTTTCCTGCAAAAATGTAGAACTTCTGCTGTTATCTGGTCTCAATTTTTAGGAGCCTTGTTTCCTCAAAATTTCTGTTTTATGTGAAAATAATTGAGAAATTAAGAAAATATTCTCCTATGTGATCACAATGTTAAGTTTGCAAGCTCTTGTCTAACTACATCAAAATTATTCCTAAAGATGCATAATATATTGTCAGATCATAGCATATCATACCAGCTTTACAAAATCTTCATTTTCATGCAACTCTTAGGATGATTAGGTGATAGGCTCCAGAGCTAGAATATGGAGTAACTGCAGAGGTGCTGGCTGGCTGCAAAAGCCTGGCAAGTTTACAGCTTTGGTCTAAATAGCTGATTAAGATATTTTTACATGCTACATTTCATTAATGCATTATGAGAACACTAAGACTGATAGTTGTGCACAGATTTGCAGAATTAAGGTCATGGCTTTGCAGTGTAACAACTTGCTAGGACATTTAAATCCCACTTCAACTTCACCTCTCGGTCTGTTTTCACATTGATAAAAAGTTAGGTTGGGTGACACACGCCTCTGTTCTTTTGCATCACAATGCTCTGTAGAAACTGAAAGGTGACTTCACTGGGGGTTGCATGCATGTTTTATACAGCCATTCAGTTCAATCTGGTTCAAATTGCAAAGAAGTACTCAGAGGTCAACAGCCAGTTGATTTGGGGAGTAGTTGTGATAGAAGTGCAGATTTACTGAAGTGGTGATGCTGGGAAATAAGACAGTAATGTATTCTGACAAGTGAATAGTGAAAGCATGTTGTTTTGAGGGACAATGTCCTGAGAAGCCTGGTCATGTGGTCCACCATATCCTGCTGCTGTGTTCCCTGTGGTATTAAACTATAATAGACAAAATATTTGTCTTGTTTACACTGTTCATTCTGAGATAACCATGACCTTTCCTCTCTCTCTCTCTCTCTCTCTCTCTCTCTCCCTTCCTCTGCAGCTCTTCTCCATTGTGATCTTCGGCTGCATCGCCAATGAGGGCTACATCAACCGCCCCAATGAAGTGGAAGAATACTGCATCTTCAACCGCAACCAGAACGCCTGTAACTATGGCGTCTTCATGGGCTCCATGGCCTTCCTCTGCTGCATGGCTTTCCTGGCTCTAGACGTCTACTTCCCCCAGATCAGCAGTGTCAAAGACCGCAAGAAGGCAGTGCTGGCTGATGTCGGGGTATCAGGTAAACTTATGCAGGCTTTATTTATTCACATATTTTATTTGTACAAAATCACACTTGACTTTGTTTAAACAGTTCCATATTAATATTAATATTTACATTAATATCAATATTAATAATTATAATTATAATAATAATTATAATACATTTTATTTATATAGTGCTTTTCATTACACTCAGAGTGCCAGTACTATATAGAGTAAAAACAAATTACAAAGACAGAAAACACATATTACAGTCGCTTTGGTGCATTTCTCACATCACTATTAACATTTGCAGAACAGTTAGTTCATTTCTCAGAACAATTCGTACAAACTGCAAAACCTAGTGGATAACCTGCAAAAGCATGTCACCTGCTCAAAATGAGTAGTTGATTCCTCAAACTAGTATTTGTGGCAATGAAATTGTCTGTGTCATCAAAATAATAAGTCATGACACCATTTTTTATGAACAAGACAGTCAAATTATGGCTTTGTCATGTTTTCAGTATGACAGTTCACTCTCTCTGTGTATTCCAATGCAAAAAAGTCAGATCTTGGTGACACGATCTGAAAATGCTCAAGACAGCACCATACACTACCTGTATAGCCATTTGAAAACTACAGTAAAGTTACACATTACTGTATTTAGTGAGGTAACTGAGTACAAGACACATGTGTTTCATATATTTACTGCATATGCTCTTTGCAATTCTACAGCATTGTGCAAAAAAAAATAAATCACAGTCACTTATTTACAACAAACATAAGGAATCCCATTTTGGTAGAAGTGTGCACAAATATAAACAATACAACAGTAAATATTACTGTAAACTGAACATAAATTATTCCTTGACATTCTCAGTTGTTCTCCCCACATTTGGTTGCACCTGTCGACCAGCCTCAGCCATAGTGAGCCCATGATTGACAGCATGGCCCACAAGTGTAACCCTAATTTCATCAGGGACTTGCCTATGTACTTCACCTCTTCTTTCTCTGCCCCGCTTTGTCCCCTTCCCCTTCCTCCCCACATTCTCACCCCTCCTCCTCGACGCTGACCTTCCCTTTTTGTGTCACAGAATTGTAGAAATGGCACACACACTATGTCCTGCTTGGTTAATATATGCTTGCCAAGTGAGGGTTCATGGGATTCAGCTCTGAGTGACTGTGGACAAGTGGCTTGTCATAGGTTACACCTAACGCTTCGCACACCTCCTCGTGAGTAAAAGCTGAGGTCCACCTGATAGCAATTATTCAATTTTGGAGAAATTTTCAGGAAAAAAAATATTCAAGGAATGTATGAAATCAGCTTGACAGATTTTGGCAACTAGTTCAACAATTTTATATGTAATGACTCAAGCAATGAAATGAGGACTATGGGCTCTGTTTTCGTGCCTTGCCGGCGACGCGGCGCATGCGCGGTGTAAGTCAGGCCCGCCGCGCCGGCAAGGCGTTCCCAAGCACAATTTGGTATTTTGGTGAGTGGCGCAGGCCGGTGTAAGTATCCCCCCTCCCTAACTCAGCTCCTCCCAGCGGCGTAAGTCGTAGCGAGGGAGGAGAGAGGGGTGCCGCTGCACAGCTGCGCATTTCGGATGAGAGGCCGGACTCGCTTGGAGACGCAGCGCGTCTTCAAAGAAAATAAATGAAATCCAAAAACAGCAGACAGTCAGTTTAGGCTGTATGAGAGCATGATCTCTGAACTCACTAAAAATCTGTAAACCAAACATTATAGTATTTAGAGACGAACTGATCCGCTCTGCTACAGCAATCAAAAACATTAGAAATAAGAAAGCTGACAAAACTACAGCAGAGGATCATTGACACATTGAGTTTTTTTCTTTTAAGATTTAGAAATTAAAGTTGTAAATTTAGGAGAATAAAGTCATAAAGTAAATAAAGTCATAAAGCTGCTTTTGTGGAGGGGGAAATGACTGAAGCTGGTCATCTGCAGGGTTATCGGTGGATGTATCAGCGGGTCATTCAGAGAGTTTTTGTGGTTTCTGAAGAAACAATCCAACTTATGATCAACATTTGTGATCCAGAGGGAGTTGAGCTTAGACGAGCACCACGTCTCTGACACCAGCGGTAACCTACACCTGCAGAGACACTAATGCCTTATTATGGCATATGGATTCATATCATAAATTAAAGCCGATTGTCATCCACGGATATTTACGGCTGCATAAACGGATATATCCTCAGCATATTCATTTCTGCGCACACAAAAGCAGCGATTTCCTTTAAGTACACCTGTTTTTTTTTTTCCTCGTGGAAAAGACATATTTCTCATATATTCTTTTTTAAGTCCTTATACTTGTGACAATGTTATGCTGATGTGCCAGAGGATGAAGTATCTCCTTGTTTGTGAAACCTATACTGAAGCACAGTTACTTTAAATGCTTCATGGCCCTAATTTTAAAAAGTCTCCTCTGAAATAACAGGTAACCTTACGACTTTATTCTCATAAATTAATGACTTTATTCTCGTAAATTCACGACTTAAATCTCAAAGTCTTTAAAAAAAAATCTCAATATGGCCCTCATAGTCCTTCATACAAAACAATCTTTGGATGAATTTTGTGGGAATGAGCTGTGCTTGTATAAAGTATTAAGACTTAAAAAAGAATATATGAGAAATACGTCTTAACCAAAGGGAAAAAAACAGGTGTACTTCAAGGAAGTCGCTGCTTTTGTGGAGGCAGAAATGAATATGCTGAGGATATATCCGTTTATGCAGCCATAAATATCTGTGGATGACATTGAGCTTTAGTTTATGATATGAATCCATATACCATAATAAGGTGTTGTTGTCTCCGCAGGTGTAGGTTACCGTCGGTGTCAGAGACGTGGTGCAATTCTGGGTGTGATAAAAGTGTGGATCAGAGTTTCAGTGGCGGAGAAGGAGGGTGAAGAGCAGAGAGGTTGGTGTCAAAGATTACTCCAGGGTTACGGATGCTGGATGATGGAGTGAAGGTGGAATAATCAAAATTGAGGCAGAGGCTCTGAAATTATTTAGTGAGTGATTTGGGGCCACTGGTTATAATGTTGGATTTACTAGAGTTCAGTTGAGGAACGTTGGTTTGCATCCATGATTTTATTTCAGTGAGGCAGGTGGAGATTGTAGACCAGGTGGTTGGAATTGTAGATCTGGATGTTGTCAGCATGGCAGTTAAAGTTGAGTCTATGTTTCTGAATAATATTGCCAAGGGGGAGCATGCAGAGAATGAAAAGGAGGGGGCCAAGCACCGAACCCTGGGAGACACCCTGAGACAGGGGAGCAGTGGAGGAGGAGCAGTTGGATTAACTGATGTCTATTGGAGAGGTATGATTTGAACCAGGACAGAGCAATGCCAGTGATGTTGAGAGAAGATTTAAGATGGGAAAGTAGGATGGAGGGGTTCATGGTGTCAAAAGAGGCAGTTAGGCAGAGTATCATAAGCATGTTGAGATGGCCATTAGTTATTTTTACAGGGCGATTTTGGTGCTGTGTAGGGGGTGGAAATATCTAGCTGTAAACCAGTGGCGATTGCTCTAAGACTGCAAGGGAAGCTCAGCTTCCCTTAAAATGTCACCTCCCCAAAAAAAAGAAAAAGTGGTGAAATACGTACTGCTGTGTGTACATTTCATTACCTAAATACGCGCTAGAAAGCCTTCATCTTTTGTTCAGAATCAGCTTCTTATCACACTGTGATAAGAAGCTGATAATCACAGGTCTAAACTTCGTTCGCATTCATCCTCGCAGCGCCTCAGCGCTTCACACAGCCGGACGCTCAGCGTCTGCTGACTTCAATGTGGAAGCTCAAAATGGGTTGTTCCAGCAGCGAAACTAGACTCTCATTGGATAAATGCTGGGATTTGTCCCGCCCATCGGACACTCAGCGTCTCTGGAGTTCTATGACAAGAGGGCGGTCCCAACTTTCTCGCGGACGCTGAGCTTCTGCATCCATGATTGGATGAGCTGTCTGAGGCGAAATCCTTTTTTGATTGACAGCTAAACAAGCGAATCAGCGATCTTGAAGAATAAAACATCTACCAGAGCATTTTCCAAGTTATTCATTCCGTTGTTCTTAACTGCTCCTGAGACTTTACCGATCCTCAGCGACTTTTGTCTTTGTTAAAAACGACTGCCGTTGTGTTTGGCGACCCTGTTCTGTTACATACAAATAAACAAACACAATTATGATGTAGGCCAGAAAAATGAGCTTCCCCTCCTTGAAAGACCAGCAGCTGCCACTGCTGTAAACCTTTTTTGGTGAAACTCCTGTGTTTTACCCATTATTCATGAACTCATTTGCAATAAAGGTTAATTAAAGTTTCCCCCATGCTTAATTTCTCTGAAAAGAGACCCCTGACACATGAGGACACAGCTCATGAACAAATGAAACCTAGGAAAATATTTTCCAGGTATATAAAGAGCGTGTTCCAACTGTAGGGGGGATCACACTCTTCAGCCTACACGGGAAAGCTTACACCGAGGTGCTGGAAAAGAGGGTCTGATCGATAGTTAACCCTCAGATGGAGAAGAAACAATACGGCTTTCGTCACGGCCACGGAACTACGGATCAACTCTTCACCCTCGCTCGGGTTCTTGAGGGGAGATGGGAGTTTGCCCAACCAGTCCATATGTGTTTTGAGGACTTGGAGAAGGCCTATGACCATGTCCCTAGGGGAATCCTGTGGGGGGTGCTCGGGGATTATGGGGTGGATGGTTCCTTATCAAGTGCCGTCCAATCCCTTTACCAAAGGAGCACGAGCTTGGTCCGTGTAGCGGGATTAAAGACAGTCGTTTCCAGTGAGAGTTGGACTCCGCCAGGGCTGCCCATTGTCACCGGTTCTGTTCATAACCTTTATGGACAGAATTTCTAGGCGCAGCCGGGGGGTGGAGGGTGTCCAGTTCGGCAGGCAGAGGACTGCGTCGCTGCTTTTTGCAGATGATGTGGTTCTTCTAGCTTTGTCGAGCAGTGACCTTCAGCTCTTGCTGAGGCAGTTCGCGGCTGAGTGTGAAGCGGCTCGGATGCGCATCAGCACCTCCAAGTCCAGGGCCATAGTCCTTAGTCGGAAAAAGGTAGATTGCCTTCTCCAGGTTGGAGGGGAGGTCCTGCCTCAAGTGAAGGAGTTCAAGTATCTCAGGATCTTGTTCACGAGTGAGAGTAGGATGGAGCGAGAGATTGACAGGTTGATCGGAGCGGCGTCAGCAGTAGTTGCTTAACTGATCTGTCATTGTGAAGAAGGAGCTAAGCTGTAAGGCAGGACTCTTGATTTACCAGTCGGTCTACGTACCTATCCTCATCTATGGCCATGAACTGTGGGTAATGACCAAAAGAACAAGATCGTGGATACAAGCGGCCGAAATGGGTTTCCTTCGCAGGGTGGCTGGGCTCAGCCTTAGAGATAGGTAAGTAGCTCAGACACTCGGGAGGCGCTCAGAGTAAAACCGCTGCTCCTCCATGTTAAGAGGAGTCAGCTGAGGTGGCTCGGGCATCTGGTTAGGATGCCTTCTGGATGCCTCCTGTTAGAGGTGTTCCAGACATGTCCCACTGGGGAGGAGACCTCGTGGCCCGCCCAGGACCAGGTGGAGGGATTATATCTCTCACCTGGCCTGGGAGCGCCTTGGAATCCCCCCGAATGAGCTGGTGGAAGTGGCTGGGGTGAGGGCTGTCGGGGCTTCCCTCCTGAAGCTGCTGCCCCCGTGACCGCGAAAGTGACGAGGATATAAGATGATCAAAACAGAAAGAAACAGAATGAAACAAACTCGGAGACACGCATTTTATTGATGTAGTCATTTAGCTTGTTCCACTAAACACAGCTTTGCTATAGTGTGCAAAGAGGAATAATTGCCTTAAGTTTTGCATAACAACCAAATCGGATCAGCCATTAAAAGGTTCAAGGCATCCCTAGTTTTCCTGTTTGGGTATTTTAAAAGGACTAGAGCTTGAATCAAACAATGTAAAACAAAACTAACTGAAACTACTGTAACCTAAACCAAACACAACCTTCTTAGGCTTAAATTCTGATGTGTAAGCAGTTTGTTTGAAACATCTAAAACGCAAATAATCTCAACCCTAATCAGAGCAGGTCTTGGAAAGTTAAGGAGATGTAGCGATTTGAATTTATAATAAATGCCTGAAGATTAATATTTGATAATTAATTTATGACATTAATGCACTTGTTGAAAGGGGCACCACTCACCTTTAATGGTGGAAAATTAAAGAAAAACAAAAGTTTAATTCAGAACTCAAACATTAAGTTAATCTTAAATTAATCAATCTCATATCTCAAGCCGAAATTCTCATTTCAGGAACTCCACTTCTGGAAGAACACTAACAGACAAGAACTTAGAAAAATAAATGATCTGTTTATTACAGGATAAATGATAGAACAACATCTTTGCAATAAATGAGGATAAGATGAATATAGATAATAACAGATGAATGAAAGATTCTGAGTCAGGCTAAGACTACTAAAGTTAATGAAAGTGAGTTAATATGCGCTAACATATTAACCTACATTAACTTTGGTGCAAAGATAAATTTGGATGCGGTTATCTGAATCGAATGCATGAGACAGCATCAGTCCTGTTTGGAGCTCTGGAGGTTTGCATACTTAAGTGAGGCTGGTCCTTGGAGTAGATGGAACAGGTTTGGAAGGTCCAGGCTTCCGGTTCGAGAGGTTCAGCTCTGAAGAGGACCAAAGTCAGACGAAGGACAGGCTGGGAGTCACAGCACACAGGCCTGAATGCAAAAACCAATGCCTTATGGATCCTTTTGAATGCTCCTTTGGCTCACTGCAACACTCTGGCTAAGAGGATGACTTTGGGCCTGCTGGGTGGCTTCAGAGGTGACTTGGCAATCACGCAGAAAATTCAAAAATGGCTTTGCGAAATTAAAGAAAAATCAATTAAAGGCTTAATCTTGAATTGCTATGTAAACAAAAAGTTAAACTTTCACAGCTTGAACTCAGATGATGGTAAAGAAAAATCAACGTGAATGAACACGTGGCGGAAAACTTAAAAGACTTAAAAAAAAAAATTAAGACAAAGAGAAAACAAGCTAAGAAAAAAAGGACAAAAGAGGGAAAAACAAGAGAGGATGTAGGAGAGCAAGAGCACCCCAGCTTTACTGGTTTTATACTCTTCAGACTGGGAGTGTCGACACTGTGTGCACAATTATTAGGCAAGTTGTATTTTTGAGGATAAATTTTATTTTTGAACAACTCCAGTGCTCTCGGTCAATCCAAAATGTTAATAAACCTCAAACCTGAATATTTAAGGGAGTAAAAGTGAGATTTTGGCTTCTTTAGGAGAATATCTATGTGTGCACAATTATTGGGGGCAGCTATTAGTGTGCAGAATTATTATGCAACTAAATTAAAAATGACAAACTTTCCATCTCACTTGTTTATTTTCACTTGTTAAAGTGAGAATGATAAACAAACAACTCAATTTACAAATAAAAATTGTTGAAATTTAAAAAAAAAAAAATCAGTGACCAATGTAACTACCCTTCTTTTCAATAACAGTCATAAGCCTTCCATTCATGGAGTCTTTCAGTTTCTTGATCTGTTGACGATCGACTTTTTGTGTTGCAGTAACCAAAGCCTTCCAGACACTGTTCCAGACACTGTTCAGAGAGGTGTACTGTCTTCCTTCACTGTAAATTTCCTGTTTAAGAGGGGCCCACAAGTTCTCAACAGGGTTTAGGTCAGGTGAAGAAGGAGGCCATGTCATTATTCTTTCGTTTTTAAGGCCTTTACTGGCGAGCCACATAGTGGAGTACTTTGTTGCATGCAATGGAGCATTGTCCTGCATAAAAATCATAGTTTTCTTGAAAGATGCAGACTTTTGCCTCTACCACTGCTTGAAGAAAGTGTCTTCTAAAAACTGGCACTAGGTTTGGGAGTTGATTTTAAGTCCATCTTTAACCCAAAAGGTCCAGCTAGCTCATCTTTAATAATACCAGCCCATACCAGTACCCCGCCTCCACCTTGCTGGTGTCTGATTTGAAGTGGAGCTCTGTGCCCATTACTGATCCAGCCACGGGTCCATCCATCTGGTCCGTCAAGAGTCACTCTCATCCCATCAGTCCATAAAACCTTTGAAAAATCTCTCTTCAGATATTTCTTGGCCCAGTCTTGACGTTTCAACTTGTGTCTTGTTCAGTGGTGGTCAGATTTCAGCCTTCCTTACCTTGGCCATGTCTCTGAGCACTGAACACCTTGTACTTCTGGGCACTCCAGGTAGGTTGCAGTTCTGGAATATGACAGCACCGGAGGATAAGAGGTTCCTGGTACCTTTACGTTTGAGTCTTCTCAAATCTTTGGCAGTTAATTTGCGTCTTTTTTTCTTAACACGTTTCTTGCGACCCTGTTGACTATTTGCATCAAAATGTTTGCTGGTTCTGTGATCACACCCAAATATCTAAGCAATTTCAAGAGTGCTGCATCCCTCTGAAAGACTTTTTAAATTTTTTGACTTTTCAGAGTCACTTAAATCTCTTTTTTGGCCCATTTTACCTGAGGAAAAGAAGCTGCCTAATAATTATGCACACCTTGATATAGGGTTTTGATCTCCTTAGGCCCCAGCCTCCCTCATTACACTAATACACATTACCTGATATGCTTATATCCAATACACATTCAAGTTTATAAAGCTTAGAGTTGGAAAATATGCATAAAAATGATGATATGATCAAAATACTCACTTGCCTAATAATTGTGCACACAGTGTATAGGGTGTGAGGAGAGAAAGGAGGGGGTCCTGATCTCCAGCTGCAGCTTTCTGAGAGGAGACTTTCAGGAGCCCTGATTGTTTGATCCAACTTATACTTTTGGTTAGTAAAGGAGTCAGATCAAATATTCACTCAGTATGATTAATGTTATTGATTGCTTGGTTCATAATAAAGGATTTGATGCTGAACACAGATAAATAATTGTAGAATCATATTAACAAACATTCTCATTATGCTTTGAGTATCACTTTTCAAAGAACATTGATCATGTTAAATTACTCTGAAATGAAACGGATAGTAACACAAATGAACTGTGAATAACACAAGGGTAAACACATGTAAATGAACTTCATAACAACTCATAATGGATTCTACAAACCAACATTCAGATTATTAACTAACAGTATAACAACCTAAGGGTTAACAATGCTAAACAAATGATTAAGAGATAAACTAAACATTTCTACACTACTCCTTCTAGAATAGGGTTATAATTGAAACATAATAACTTAAGCTCTTCAAAATTCATGAAACAGTTTGAAAAGCTGTTGATTTCAAGGAACTTTAGGACTGAAGGATTTAACCTGTCAGTGTGAGATATTGGCTTGTGAACATGACACACAATGGGACAAAGACTGTTTTACTGCACATGTTGAGTACTGACAGAAAATCATGGTATAGTGTCCATCCAACCTGTAATTGGACTAGTTGTAGTTATTCTCTTTGGATTGTACTCATGCATGTAAAAAGAAAAATGTTCTATATAGAAAATTTTTAAAACTAAAAACTAAAGAAGCTGAAAATAAATATAAGTAATATAAAAATAAGTTAACGAGTATTATGAGACTAAATAAAAAGGAGTACTATCATAAACTGTTGAATCAAAACAAAAGTAACACCCTAGGTATATGGAAGGTATTAAACAGCATAATAAAAAAGGGTGATGCTAGAGTAGAGATACCAAATTACTTTGTCAAGGAAAATAATATGATAATAAATAAAAATATAGATATAGCTAATGAATTTAATGACTATTTTGTAAATGTAGGAAATAATCTAGCAAATGAAATAATGGAGCAGAAAAATGGGACAGAAACTCGTGAAATAGGAGAAACCATGCAAAATAATACCCATTCGATATTCCTTAGGAATGTTAAGGAAAAAGAAATTATTGATATTGTGAAAAAATGCAAGAACAAAAAGTCCATTGACTGGCTGGGCATAGATATGACACTAGTAAAAAATATTGTACACTGTATTGTGAAACCACTGACTTATATTTTTAACCAATCCCTTCAAACAGGTATATTCCCCAACAGCATGAAAACTGCAAAAGTTATCCCAATATATAAAAATGGGGATAGACATTTATTTACAAATTACAGACCCATTTCCCTGCTCCCGCAGTTCTCAAAAATTCTAGAAAAAGTATTTGTCCATCAACTCGATAACTTCATTGAAAAACACAACATTTTGTGTGATCAACAGTATGGCTTCAGAACTAATCGTTCCACCTCAATGGCAGTGATGAGTTTAATGGAACAGATTTCCACCGCCATAAATAACAAGGAATTTACAGCCTGTGTGTTCATTGACCTTAAGAAGGCTTTCGACACTATTCATCACGAACAATTACTTAGGAAAGTGGAATATTATGGTATTAGAGGTGTAGCACATTCCTGGTTAAAAAGCTATCTTGAAGACAGGTATCAGTATGTACAAATCAACAATGATAAATCTAATATACAAAAAGTAAAGTGTGGAGTTCCCCAAGGATCTGTTTTAGGTCCAAAACTCTTCATTTTATACATAAACGATATCTGTAACGTGTCAAACCTTTTAAAATATGTGCTGTTTGTGGATGATACAAACTTATTTTGCCATGGGAAAAAATTGGAGGAGCTTTTGAACACAATGGAAGGAGAACTGAACAAACTTAATACTTGGTTTGATATAAATAAATTATCCTTGACTCTAAATAAAACGAAACTTATGATATTTAGAAACCAAAAAAAAGATAATGAAATCACCTTAAAGATAAATAATTTACCAATTGAAAGAGTATAAGAATATAAATTCCTTGGAGTGCGTATTGATCATAAACTAAGCTGGAAATCTCACATAAAACTTGTTAAAAGGAAAATGTCTAAAACCATAGCTATATTATATAGATTGAAAGAAATATTGAATCAAAACTCTATATTTATTGTATTGCTCCCTTATAGTCCCATACATGACTTACTGTATGGAGATATGGGGAAACACATATAGATCCAACGTTAATCCAATCTTTACTTTACATAAAAGAGTCATACGAATAATCAGAAGAGCAGAGTATCGGGAGCCTACCAACACCCTATTTATAAATCTGAACACACTAAAATTCTGGGATACAGTCCATCTTCAAACCTTACTGATTTTGTTCAAAGATCTCCTTCCTTCCTGTATTCAGAGGTTGTTCCAAAACAAAGAGAACAAGTATGAACTTATGAAGTTCAGATGAAAATACCACTGAGCGGGGTCCAGCGGACACGAAAATAGAGCCCTTGGTTTACACCATCTTGTCTCCGGTGAGCAGATGTAGGCCTTACATTCTTTTGGGGGGTTGGGATGTGAAGGTGGTCGGCTCCGTTACAGATGAAATTTTGTCAACTGTAAATTTCCAATATTTATTTTAATTTTTTTTTTTTTGGGGGGGCTGTTTGTAATCATACATGGCTTTAAAGATTATAGAGCACCCCTTTATTTGACACAGCAAAATATGAATGCTCTCTACAGTCTATTAAAATGATATTTGAAAGATTGTCGGGAAGGTTATCATCAGAACAAAAGGACAGGGGGTGTGAGCGGGATAATAAGGAGTGGAGAGCTCTTCTAGTGCTAACAAGCCTTTGAGACTTTGGCTTTGGTCACTCTCCCTCTTCTCTAGTCGACACAGACACTCAAACAAGATGACAAGATATTCAAGAGCTGAGACTATTAAGATCCATTCCCATCATAGACACAGCTCTCTTTTCCTTGTGTCTTTAATCACACAGGTTCTGGCTCTTTTTCTGTCTCTCTGTGATACAGTTGTAAGGGGACAGCTAGCATGTGTCCTGATTTTACCTGGATGCTTTTGATGAAGCTCTATCATCTGTCTCCTTGATTGCCACTCTTACCAACGTAAAAAGCTGGAAAGGAGTAATGTTTTAATCCTCTTTAATATCTCTCTTCCATTCTTTGAATCAATCAAACAACTTTACTAATCCCACATGGGACAGGAGCTTTTATGTATCACTGGAAAGAGCCTGGCAGAAGAATAAATTCTTATCACTGAATAGAGAGATGAATAACAAACTTGGTAGCTCAAATGAAAGGATGAACAATCAGCCAACTTGGTTCTGTGGTGTTCCACAGGGTTCAATCCAAGGTCCGGTTTTGTTTTCAGCAAAGTTACAAAATGGTGTATTATTCTCTATCGCTGTGCTGACGATATTCAATTGTACATCCCAAAATTCACCTCCAACCCCAGTAGCCATGATTTTAAGGTCTGTCTTATTCTAGATCACTGTTGAACCAAAGTTTTTAGTCCCCCCCCCCCCCCCGTTCAAAGCTGAAACCTGCTACAGAGTCCTCAAACTATTCCAGGTTGTCCCAAAGGTTTATGCCCAACACTTTAAGGACCTGATCTACTAAAGGTTTGCGTACAAAAGCACATGCAAAGTTGATAGTACGCGCAAAGCTGTTCTACTTAACTGGTGCATCTGTCAAATTGGCATAACAGCAGGCACAATCAATTTAGTGTGTTTGCTGTCATAAATATGCAGAATGTATGCCGATCATCAGAACACGCAAAATACTGTTAGGAGGAGATGCAAATGTACTAATTGCGGTCGCTGTTTTTGCATCTATAGTCATTGTGATGAGAAGAGGGCAAAGGTGCAATGACAGATGACGGAGAGAGGGAGTGTCAACATATTTGGACTGTCAGAAATAGAAATACTAGAGACATATTGTCTATCCAACAATGCCCTTTTGAGGCTGCATGATGACCTAAGGGTTGCAAATAAAACCAGTCCCCCATTGGTTTTATTTGCAGAGGTTTTATTAGGGGTTTTTCCTTTGTTCTTCTGTGGATATCTTGCTGTCTTTTTTTGTCTAATCCCAGATCATCTGGTTTTGCCCACAGTAGTCCCCTTTTTCAGATTGCCTCACAAATTGTGTTTCTTCTGACAACGCTAAGATGTCTCAGCTGGAGTTTACCAATGTGTTTATTTGCCTCCTCCTTCTAGACCTCCAACTCCAGGGCTTTAAACTTCATTTTTCGTTTATGGCCACTCTGCTCTCCCAAACTCTCCATGGTGACAGCACATGCAAAATCCTCATTCTGAAGGGCAGGCCACACCACTTTTTCACCTGTTATCAATTGTGCACGCAATCATAGTAGATCACCCGCAACATGCCCACTAATAGCACATGCAGTTTTTTAGTTTGCACACACAGTTTAGCACTCCTTATTTGGGATCTTAGTAGATCAGACCCATAGTGTGTTTAGCATGTTGGCACTTTGCTTTAAAGCTACTGTCAGAAGTCTGTTGCTGATTATTATGAGAGTGGAAACTGATATTGATGCTTCTTTACGACCAACAAAATATGTCAGACCATCAGTGACAAGACTGATTATTTCTTAACAGTCATTTGTGATGTCTTAAACCGCTGTTCGACGCCTCAGTTAACTGCATGCTGCTAAAACCCAGTATTGCTTTATCAGGTTCATCTTGCTGGAGAAACCATTGTCTTTAATCCTGTGGTAACTTGAAGACAGTATGTTGTATCTCAGGTTGTGTTTTTTTTCTGTTTATGTTATTTTAATACGTTGTTTCTACCTTTTTTTCTTTGCAGCGTTCTGGTCCTTCATGTGGTTTGTGGGTTTCTGTTTTCTGGCGAACCAGTGGCAGGTAACCAATCATGAAGACAACCCCCTAAGGGAGGGGGGAGACGCTGCTCGGGCAGCCATAACCTTCTCCTTCTTTTCTATCTTCACCTGGGTAAGAGTCTCAGCCACACGAAGACTCCTAATGCTTCACATTTGAGTCCATCCTTTTGTATGTATGCATGTGGACTCATACTTGTGTGGGTGTTGTTTCTGCAGGGTGCTCAGACTCTCCTCTCTATGGAGAAGTTAAAGAATTTGTCATTTGAAGAGGAGTACACCAAGCTGTTCCCCCCTCAGCCAAATTAACCTTTTGTCTGACTCAGCTCTCTCTTCTCTTTCTTGCTGCATTAACACTCCACAGCTCGTCCACACATGCACAGACTCCTGTGGCTGCACTTCTTTAAGGGCACCTGGGGTAACATGATAACCCTTAAAGCATGTTGTAGAAATTCAGTGGAGAGAAGAGCAGCTGTAAACACCATCAGTGTTGTCAGTAAAAAGTTGCTTTATGTTTTGTGGTTAAATAACTCTTGACCCATGAACATTACGATGATAATATATGTACAGGTGGGCTGATTTAAGTGCTGATCAATATGCATGACTCAGATTACTGCCCTTTAACACCAACTAAAGATCCTGTTATCTGTTTTGAATTGAAAGCCCCCCACCCACTTTTACTGTTAAATGTTAACCAAAAATACACCAACACTAATGATGCAAAACTTTTTTTTTTTTATGTAGTTCATTCTGTTTTAGAGAAATCAAGTAGAGGCTGTACCTTCACAAGCCCTTAAATGAGTGCAGACCCACTGCGCAGAGTTATCAGTGACATGAAAGTTTACGTGGCAGTTGGTGCTTTGTCTTTTTTGCTGGTTAGAGTTCCTCAAGTGATATTTTTATATATCTTGTTTATAAAATTTCTCAGAGTGTGTTGCACAAAATTACGAAGTTTTTGTTTTATAGATTTGTGGTGAACAGACATTCAGAGCCTTCTCTTTATTTTTCCTGACTAAACTCTCTGACTTGGGAAATGTACTTGTCACTTAATGGTGTAACTTGAATGTGTAGGTGTAATGATACTAAACATGAGACAGCAGCAAATGAGCTTCATGGAAACAGCCATCTTAGCTGTTGTTTGGAGGTAAGAAAAGTGCATCTATCTGTGCCTCAAAATAGAAACAAAATTTAGTCTGCAGCTTTCAATTTTGCAACAATAATGGGGCGCTCACACCAAGTGCGACTAAAATCTTCTACTCGCTTAATTTGCGCGGATATAGACACATTAATGAATAGTATTTATTCGCTTCATTTGCACATGAACGGTCATTTCAATGGTAATTCCTGCCAATTCAACCGGCGGGATCAAGTGATAGACAAAGGTTTATAACAACTTACCAGGTAATCCGACCTCCTCACTCACTTTCCTCCAGCTGAGCTCCTTTTTATTTCAGTTTTTGTAATTGAAAGAAAAGTTATCAAATAATTCGGGATACCCTCACACCGACATGATCAGTTTGTCCTCCATTTTAGAAATCAGTGAACAAATGTCCGTTTTCATACGTCACCTGGCAATCTTTGTGCTGATTAGTTATCGCAACACGAATAACTGCTCAAGTTGAGACATTTTCAGCTCCCGCCCAATTTGCGTCATTCGCGCCGCCAGAGTAGTAAGAGTGTCTAATTGCATCTTTACATTGACTTAACATGTAATTCATTCGCGCGAATGATTTTACTTGCGCTCGGTGTGTGGAGACAGTAAGAGATAAGGGAGAAAAAGGCTGAATGATGCAAAAGCAATACAGTAATACATAAAGATGTAGCAAACTAGACAAGTGCAAATGTCCTTCTGTCCAAAAATAAAAGCATCTGTGAAAGGTCACACATAAGCTAAGGCTGTTGCACAATTATTTGTAGAATCTTAATACTTAATTGTGATAAATTGCATTTTTTTAAATCATGTTTTTTAAAGTTCCATTCCTTTGCATTTAAAAACACATTTAAAAATCCAGATTTGGAAATCAAATGAAAGAGGTGAAATTAAGCTCATCACCACAGCTGTACCACTTGGTAGTCAAATTCATGACTTTAGGGTAGTAAATACAGTGTTTAATTTTATGTATTTATGTGATTGAGGATAACACTAAATAAAAGAGACATACAAGAATACGTGCACAAAATAACCAGTCATTGTCGGTATGGTGTGCTCCAAGTCTGAGATAACCCTGACCAAACACTGACGTCCAGTGATCTGCAGCTGATGTGACAGCACGGCTGCTTTCTCTGATTCTTTGATCTACTAGTCTAAAGTGACTTGCATGCAGCTTGCACACTTAGCTGCACTTGCATGCTTAGCTAAAAGGTTGCATCTCAGACGCAGGGGATGTCAATTTGGGGCCTAACAAAGCTCACGCTGACAGTCCTGGTACAACCACATCACATCTTTGTTGCCAGCATGTCTTCCGATTTGAATGAGCAAAGTTATATGTCATTAAAAAAACTATTACAGTGTAACTAGGTGAATTTGAATAATGTATGACTGACCAGATTAACTTACTTCCCTTCCATAAGGCTTTATGCTAAACTGAGCTAACAGACCCCAGGTTGAAGGCACAAGTATTAACATCTTCATTTTGAAAAAGAAAGTTCCCAGAAGATGAAAAGTAGATTTCCCAACTCTGAAGTGAGTTTTTAGTGCAGCTGCTCCTTGAACTTCTCCACCCAACTCTGCTTTCCTCTATCAAACTTTTTTACGAGGTTTATTCCGTAGGTTTGTTGCTTTAACTGCTCTTTAAGATTGATTTTGTTATTTAAGTGAGACAGTTTTAAGATGCTCAAATTGAAACATCAAACTGTTTTATTGCATATTCATAAGATTTTATGACGTGTAATTGCGCATGTTATTGGCTAATAAATAACTTTTATTGCATAGCTGCTTTTCCACAATGATCCACATACTAATTAACAAAATGAAGACATTTTTAGGGTTTTTTATTCTATTTTTTCAAATGATCTGATGATTATGCAATCAACCATCCAAATAAATGATTTAATAGAACCAGGACATAGTTTTACGTCAGACTGAAAAGAAACTTCTCACCTGATTTCAACCTCTGACTGAGAGTGAACTATGCCTCATGGAAATTTCCATCACTAATAGCCTGAGGCTTTTCGACTTCTCCTGTGCTTTTCTTTCCACTCTGGTATTGATACAGCTCTAAATATCGCCTGAGCTAAGATTTGTGTTCTTTGACAGTGCAGGACCTCGGCTGTTGAATAATGCACACAGACACACTTTAATTGCCTGGTCCAAGTCCTCTGTGTACCGGAGTGGCATTGAGCTGGTGTTTCTCATTATGGACTGAACATTGAATAACTAGCCCCCTTTTGCTCTGCTGGCTGTACAACTAACTTGTTCTAACAGACTGAATGACTCAGTCTCTGTTTCTAATCGAGCTTCACAAGCTTTCCAAGCTGACTAATCAATGTTTCTTTCTCTCTGTGTCCCAAAACCTCTTCTCTAACGCCACTGCATCTCTGCTTCACTATCAATCCATTACTCCACATCCATTTGCTTTTTTACCATCTCCACACCAAAGGCGGGTCAGTCCTTCCTGGGCTTCCAGAAGTACAAACTGGGAGCCGACTCAGCCCTCTTCTCCCAGGACTACACAGACCCCAGCCAGGATGTAGCCGGAGCCCCTTACACCTCCTTTGGAGGGGAGGACGTAGAGAGCCCTGAAGGAGGAGGCCAGACCAAGAGCGACGGGGCCTTTGATGGTAGTGGCGGCTACCAGCGTCAGGATTATTGAGTTATTGGAAGGATTCTGCAGGTCAAAGTTGCCCATAGTTTCCAGTTTAGACTGGGGGGTAAGTTTCAGTAACGCTAAAAAGCACTGGGCACATAGTTACAGCACTGTCACACAGCATACCAATGAGTTGTAGTGACCCACAGATGAGTGTAAGATCTGCCAAGGCTGAAGATCAGGTGTGTAAATTTGGGGATCTTTTTTTAATGTCTGCGAAATTCCTGGAAAATTACAGTGGTAGCTTTCCAACCAAATCCCAGTCCACAAAGTTCCTCCTGTGTACCCATCAGTTTTCTACAGGACAAACAAAAAGCTGCCTCTGACGCAGGATGTTTTGGTACTGCGTTTATTTTTTTTTTTACAATGATTATGTCTCACATTTTAATATTAAGTGTACAAAAATGAACAGATGACATTCAAAACTGCTAAGGGTGCCAGTCAGTAACTAATGTATTTTCCAAAGTAGTTAAATAAAAGTTTTCAGAACCACCTGTATATAAAAAAAAATAAATAAATACTTACTCCCTGCCTTTTCAAGTACATACATGGAATACCAAAGCCTGTGGCTGGGAGAGCACCCCTCCCTACCATTTATGTGCATGCAAAGGCAGGGAGAGCATCAGTGAAGACTCCCAGGGTGTTGAGAAGAGCAGGCATCTGGGACAATATATATGACACTGTTTACACCTAAGCCCATTTTGCTAATTGGATGCGTAGAAGGTAATTTACTGTCAGCTGAAATTGGCAGCTTTCATGATCAGCTTGTGTACAGTGGGCTGAGCTTAAATCTGTGGCCTACCTGGACTGGTACTGTATTCAATTGACCAAAGTGGAGTTGACTTTGATCCAGTGCTTTTCAGTATGTACATGCAATATTCACACTACATTAAGGAGAGGAGAAGTTTGATTCAGTGTCTGTGACTTTCAAGTTAAAAATCTGACTGAATCTCAGAAATTATGGGCAACTTTTTCCCTTTTTGGAGGCAAGGGGAATGACAAGAGTTTGGGAAAAGATGTCAATTATCTGTGAGTTTTCAGGGATACAATAGCAAAGGGTTCAGGAAATCCACAGGAGGAGATTGTGGGATTTCATAAAGACAATGAGTGTGGATAGAAAGATAAACAAAAACAGGGGCAGGAAGCTTCCAGAGATCATGGGTTTGCAGAATTGGTCACCCAGTAGCAAATTAATGCTCGTGACCACTATGCCTTCATCTTCTGACATCTGCAGTCAGTCAGCTAAACAGCTAAGATCAGTGTTAATTGAAACACACACACAGGTAACAGACACACATACGAACACACACTCACATGATATTGGTTTAACATGGGCAACACAAGTTTTCTGCTGACTAAACTCCTCAGAGGTGCATTACAGGACAAACAAGCAACAGTGGCATATCTGGCAACTAATCCCCTCAGCTGTTACACAGGACTTTGTGTTTGAGTGTGAATGTGTGTGTGCTGAAAGGTCCTTTGGGTTTTAATGAAGCGTGGATGTGGGACAGCGTGTGTTTTCTCGTTTCCCTGAAGAAGCCACTTTTTTCTTTACTCAATTGTTGCCTTAGTGCTGACTGCCAAGTGAAATCCAATGAACACAGGGCGACACAAACCCAACAACATCCACAGAAATCCTCCTTCCTCTTTTAGCGTCTTTGGAGCAAAAGCAAGCAGATTGTTTTTTGTTTTTTTTTCCTTGCTTTTGCTCCTAAGCATGTTAATAAACTGAACAAAATAAGCATCAACACACTGATAGAGCATCTCAAATGACAGACAGAAAAACGACAGTTCTCTATCAACCGGCCTTTACACACCAAATTCTACACTGCAGACCTGCAGCTTTTTTCTTCTCATTATATGTCAACAGGCAACCATGATCATTCTGAGTATTTATGAACATGCATTTCTCCATTTTTCTTAAAGAACAAAGTATATCTTTCTCTCTATAAATATATGTAAATCTATAATTCAGTATATTAGATTGTTTGAAAGAAAAAATATGCTTTATTTTAGGGCATTATCCTAGTTCTGTATAAAAAAGAAAAGACATAAGAAAGAAGATATATGTTCTGTTGAGTGTTATCGTGTTAAGATTTACGGAGAGGTCATCCACACCTCCTTTCTGTTGCTTTCAGGGTATGGAGAAGTTTTTATTTTGGGATAATAATACCAACTATAAAAACAGCAACAAAAATGTGACCAAATTATCAAAGTACATATGCATATACGTATATACTTTATACTGTACCGTGTAACCGTAGAAATGTGTGATGTTCCTTTGTGAAATCTGTTAAACTGCAAAGTCAGGTTTAAGAAAAGATTGTCTCCAAATGTATGTTTTTGATGTGTTTGATTTTAACTGGTAAAAATAAAGAAATACTGCTAAGACACTGATATGAACATGTGACATCTGATTTATTCCTTTACTATTTTTTATTGAAGTCCGGTTAATGTTTGGCTCTGCAGGCCAAACTGGTGTGAAGGACACAAAAATATTCACACAGCAAAGGAAAATGACTCAAATCTTATCTTTTATGACACATCCAATCTGATTTTGTATTCAGTATAAACATGACAAGTCACGTGGAATCCAGTATTTACAAATCAGATTTGGGCCAGTTTTTTATGTGGTTCAAATTAAGATTCATGTCTGACACAAAGTCTGAGCAGCCAAGTCAAAATGAATGAGACTTTGATGTCTTTGGAGTGACAGGAATCACAGTTCTGTGCTAGTGAGATGGAAAGGAACAATAAGTCACTCATGCTCATGAAATCAAAAAGTTAGGGACTCTAACCAATGAATTAATCGTGGTTCAGCTGACTTTTAAGCCCCATATTCAGGGGCTTTGCACTTCATTCTGGGCCTTGTACACTATAAATGTCAGTGGGCCCCTAATGTTAGCTGGCCCATAATTGTCTTTATACTTATAGTCGCAAGCAGCCTGGTTGGCAACTAGCTAAGCCAAAGACTTCACGTGAGCATACACCAGCAGCAGCTGTCTGGAGTGGACTACGTTTGGAGTGACAGGAATCACAGTTCTGTGCTAGTGAGATTGAAATGAGCTATAAGTCACTCATGCTCATGAAAACAATAAGTTAGAGACTCTAACTAATGAACTAATCGGGGTTTGGCTAACTCGTTAGCCCCATATTACAATGACTTTGGCCATATTTTGGTTGCCCAACCCAGCTGTTAACCATTAAAGGCTGATGTTTTCCTTTCTATATATTTTTTACACAAATAGTTTAAATACTCAGTCCCAAAAACAAACATGGAACAATTTTCCAGTTTTGTGGAGTAATCTCAGAATGTGACTACAGATTGCACTAAAAGCTTGTTTTAAAAGTTACATGAACCAAAGTTACAGTGTTTTGTTTTGTTTTGTTTTTTGTCCATTTTCAAACTTTCCATGTTTAACTTAGGGTCCAAACCATAGAATCTAATTTCTTTTTGTAGCTACATAGAGAAACACCATCTAACTCATGACAAGGGTTTTATTGCAAAGCAACAGGGGAGAAGGCTCCTGGAGAACTAGGAGTGCGGGGGGTCCTTAGACAGAGGCCGAAAGGAATGTTTTCAAAGATAAGTTAATAATTTCTCAGGCACCAATTGTGAAGTGTTTTTCATATCGCCACAAGCTGCATAACCACTAGGTATCTGATGCAGGTTCAGGATCTTGATCTGTTGACATGGGAGTCCAGGGCAATGACTTATAAGAAAGAAGAACTTTATTTAATTTACCCCCTAATGTAAATTGTAATTGTTGCTGACCCCCTGAATTGAGACAAAAACATGACATGTCACCCTCCATGTACAGGAATTTAAATTTAAAACCAAGTGCACGTTTTACAAGATTGGGATGAATAAATTTACAAGATGCTTTGAATAAATTACTAATATTAGTTCATTCATACAGCTGAATGACAGCCTTTCAAAGTGCTCTTTTTTGTGTTCTTTATAAAAATCTGAATTACCTTCCATTGCATTACAAGCTTTGAACGTTTTTTTTTTTTTTTTTTTTTTACAACTTGCTTACTTGCTTCCAGAAATCAATTAGATGAACGATGTAATTATGGGCATTATCCCCTATTTTAGTGCGTCTGAAATGTTGTCGGGAAATGACAAAAGCAGACAAGATAAACGCGTTGTTGTTGTTGTTGTTGTTGTTGTTGTTGTTGTTGTTGTTGTTGTTGTTGTTGTTGTTGTTGTTGTTGCTCCTTAATTGACCTCATTGGCCGAGCTGCAGTTTTCTTCTGTAGTTCCACATTTTTCCATAGGGTGGCGATACTGTCAAGGAAATTTCGCATATTGACAACACGGAAGTGATATTTGTTAAGACAAGATTCCCCTCTGTTGTAAAGAATATAATTAATCTTTTTTGTCCATTCAATGATTAAAGCTGCTATGATAACGAAGAAAATAAAAAATATGAATATATATATATATATTTTAAGAGCTCTGCAAAGGATTCGGATGATGCATTAATGTACTGTCGGAAATTTTCTGATAAGCTCGATGACTACAGTATTTGAATCACAACTACCGCAAGAGAAATGGAGTCATGTTGAAAAAGTTTAAATTTGAGCAACATTAGTTACCTCTCTCACTGCTCTATGTACTTTCAAAACTTGCAGATATTTTGAGGGTTCTCAAGACCTACTGAGAAGTAAATGTTATTCCGTTTAACTTGTATATTTAAATTTGAAATGTCCAAGCTAATGAATATATTTTATTAAGTATGTGCTTGTACGGTTTTATGTGATAGTATTTTCATTTAAGTCTATAACAGGCGTGTTTATCATTTTGATACTTGAAACTCCGACGATGCAGTGAATTCATGAACGTAGCAAATACCGTCCAGTATGGCGGCCCAGCGTCGGAATTTAATGCAGAGTGTGAGTGAAACTCTGCTTTTTAATTGCTTTCACGACCCTGTAAAATTGTTATTGCGCTTATCTCAGGGATTGCTATTGTGTCCTGTAGCTCCATTTGTGTCGTTTGTGGGGTTTTTTTTAATCGTTTTCTGGCTCGTATAGTGCCGTTCATCGATGCTAACACTAGCCGGCTGGGTCGATGTTATGTAGCGGTTTGCTAACAGTTAGCTTGCTTTCTAAACTTTGATCTCGAGATAATGCGATTTATTGGAGTAAGTTAGAGTACACTAATGTAAGGTATATTTGTGACCGGTGTCAACTTAATGTTGGCTCACTTATCCTTTTCATAAACTACATGAAGGAGCCGAGGTTGTACTTGAGCTGCCAGTGTCACAGACTGTACATGTTTGCACACAGTGAATATTGCAGCATGCAGCCTCGTAGTACGTCTGAAGCTTTGTCACAGTGTACAGAATTAAACATTTCAAGTTTAATCAGTTTATTTACTCGTCTGCCATGACAGCATCAGAGCTGGACTGATGACCTGCCCCTGTGTCAGATGTGTGCGGTTGGCACAGCCCCCAACTGTGTGTACGGTCCGGATGGTAAAGGATCTCAGAGCCACCCGAACGAGGACGGACACCTCAGGTTCAGGTGAGTCTTTCTGGAAGGCCCCAGCATGGCCAAGGTGTGAAATAAAAGATAACTGGGTGCAAACTTCACTTTATAAGGTGTCACAGTATGTGACTTGCTTCTTACAAGCACACTATTTTTTACAAGATTTAAGTACAACACCAATGGCACTAAACAGAAAAGTACTAAAGGATTTTATGCTGGAGTATCCCTTTAATGTTTAATGTTTGCTGATTCACATACAGGCACGTTTCTGTCAGAAGTCAGAACCTTTGAGGCCGGAGTTAATGAGTAAACTTTTTCAGTGGCTAACATTTTTAAAATTCAACATTTACATAGCTTGAAAGTTTTAAAATATACTGCACTTAGAAACCTCCTGACAGTGCAAAGAGTTTTTACTAAATGTGTCTATCTTTATCATTTTTATTGTGATGAAGTAGGAGACTTAATGTTGTTGTTTTTTCTCTGTGAAACAGTGGTGAGGATGGTTGTTTTCTGTATGGAGTTTTTAACGGCTACGATGGCAGCAGAGTAGCTAGTTTTGCCTCCCAGTGTTTGACGGCTGAACTGCTACTGGGACAGCTCAAATCCAGTCACACAGACAGTGACGTCCGCAGGATCCTCACACAGGTCTGTGCTTGTTTATATTGTTACACAGTGCCCATGTTGATAGTTACACAACAAATGGTATCAAGTGTGTGGACAGATGGACTTCAGGGTGGAAAAAAATCTGTTACAACGTTTGATTGAGATTGAAGAAAACGATCCAACAAACAATACAGATAATAGGCTAATATGTTTCCAGAAGGTGTTTAAGGCTCTTTAATTAATAATGAGGCTTATGAATTAATAATGCGTATGAGCACAGGGTAGTAGTGAGAGGAAAAAGAAGTGTAGAGGAGAAGTTTTTTAGTTTTCAAGTTGTAAAGAGGGACTGTTTTCTTTTTAGCACAAAGAAGGAAGAAAGGTCATGTTAAAAACCCTGTTAAAATGTTGAATAATCAATTCTGATTACAAATTCTGTGTTAAATCAATTTTTAACTTCGTAATAAGTGGAGTTGTGTACAGTTAAGAGGTTGTCATGCAAGGGATTATGTATAGCTATGTAAAGTAGAACCACAACAGGATAAGTCAAAACCCATAGACTCTATATACCATGGACAACTTGGCTCCGCCTACCGCCTGTATACAGATTAGAAGCCAAAAAGTTCTCGGTATTTCCGGGATTTTTCTTCATTTCTTAAAACCAGCGCTGCACAGTAGCGATGCGCGCATTCGGCAGGAGAGTCGGCGAGAGTCGCTGTGATGACGCTCGGCTCAAACAGCGTATCCCCCAGGTAAGCTACGCAATCCTTGAACGCCAATAGGCTGTATCAAGTGTCAGTCAAAGAAAACATGAACCCCGTAATAACTTTTAAAAACGGAGCTGCTCAGGAAAAAGAGGACTTGAGCACAAACCAGTCTGACAGTAACTACATGTCAACATCGCAAGCGGGGGAGAAAAATTTATGTTCTGTGTAATAAATTTCCAAAGTTTGTCCACAGCCACATAAGCTTTGCTGGCAGAGGTGGGATTTATGACCTTTACTGCAGCCCATTAACAGAGGGTGCTGTTCTCAGAGTGACTTCACTCAGCACGGAGGCAGACTCTGTCCATTCTTTATACAGTCTATGTCAAAACCCCAGACACCAAGGTTATACCCCCACTACCAGTTTAACATACAAACCTGTTGACACCAGTGAAGTGTAAACATGAGCAATTTTGTGCTGGCATGCTTGGTCGGTATTTTCTTTTTACTGAACTAATTTTCTTACACCACCAGAACCTGTGGCGTGTCGCAGGTTGGGGTGGCTCTTTCTGTTATCTTAAATTCGGTGAACGTCTCTCACTCACCTAGC